CTCGCCCCTGAGGTGTGGTGATGGGGACATCCCTACATCCGTAAATACGGGGGACGAGTCTGGAAGGACACGTGTTCGCACTCCCCACCCAGGGCCCACAGCGATCGCCTCCAGGGCTGAGGAGGGAGCCAGGATGGGGAAAGGAGAAAGTCGGTCCACGGGCACTTAGTGAACACTAGAAATGGGGTTAGAGGTCCGCCCAGGGTAGGTGATTCTGCCCATGGCCAGACCTTCTCGGGGTCTAGCTTGACCCAAAGGGAGATGCCAATCAGAGTGGCTCCCTGCACACCAGCTGCAGGGAAGGCTGAGCCTCAGTGTCTTCATCTGCAAGATGGGCCCTTGTGGAGTTGCTCCAAGGCTGGGCGACATGATGCGGCCTTTTATTTTTTTCATACTTGGAATTCCTGGTGAAGTGACTACTATTTGTTTCCCAACCATGGAGCCCCCTCCGGTGATCCTTGGGCCAAATCTGCATACAGATATGGCCTATTTGGCCTGCAGAGTGTTGGAAACTTTTCAGATTTAAGCACCATCAGGCAGGACCCGAGCCTCTCGGCTTCCCATGCCCCCCACGACGCCCTGAGGTTCCACCTTTGCACATCTGTCTCCCACCTGCCTGGCCCCCTGCGTCCCTCCTTCTGTCCCTTCTCCGCCAGACTTCTTGGAGGGAGCTGGGCGGCAGACAGCTAGAGGTCAGGCGGTGCCCCAGGCTGTCCGTGGAATGTAGACAAACACACATCGGGAGCCAGACGTCTCATTAGGAGAGCCAGGGTGCCCACCTCGTGACTGCGCTGGACTGGGACTGGAAGACCTCCCCAGCACCCCCAGCACCTCTTGAAATGAGTGTTTCTGTCTCGCCAGATGTTTCCGTGGTGGAAATCGTGCAGAACGAGTCATTGTTACTGCCCGCGCTGTCCTTCTCAAATAGCTGTTTCCTGATTAATTCACAGCACGCACCCGCTCTGTGCCTCCGCTAAACAGAGAACACATCCCTATAAACATGTAAAAGAGAGCTCTGAGAATCGACTTTTCTGACAGTCGGCAAATAGTAGCCTGCCATCCTGCAATTGGATGATTGAAGCCGAGTTCCTGTGGTGTAACACGGGCTTGATGCTTCTCATTTGAAATTGCGACGGAAACCTCTGTGGCCAGAACTCGGCGAACTAGAAATTTAGTTAGAGCTTACTCACCCAGCGGCAGGAAGGCTAGGGGGCGGGGGCGGGGAATACGGAGAGGTGGATACCCCTGGGGTCTCAGAGTCCATATCTCAAACCCAAATCAGCAGCCAAAGCGAGGTAGACACTGTTCTGGGGATGAAACAAAAGGCTGCCATTTTCCTGATGAGATTTGTTCTCAGGACACTGTCAGAGAGCAGTGCCATCCTGGAGAAAAACACCTGTGTTCATGCTCGTGTAGTTCCAGAGTAAGGGTGGAGTGCCAGTCATGTGCCAGGCACCTGCTGGGCCCTTGGACAAGATTCGTAGGGCCTCCACTGTCTGAGGGCTGAGGTTTGAGTGGGGGAGACAGGATCTAAGTTAAAAGCCGATCAACAAGATCATTCCAGAGACGGGAAGGAAATCGAACAGGGCAATGGGAGAGAGAGGGGACCGGATGAGTCAGGGGCTCGAGAGAGGGTCAGGATGATGTCTCAGAAGACAAGAAGGAGCCGACCTTGCAAGTGCCTGGAGCAGAACACTCCAAGCCCAGTGCACAGGTCCCAGGGTGGCCATGAGTTTTGCAGGATCATGGAGCAGTGACCAGACCAGTGTGTGGGGAGTGGGGGGCAAAAGGGGGAATGTGATAGGAGCCGGGGTCAGAGAGGTCAGCAGGGGCTGGATCACATGGGCCTCATTGGCCACTGAAGGGAGCTGGAATTTATTCTCAGTGTTGTGAGAAATTGCTGGGCTGTTTTAAGGAGGGGGCTGCCATGAGCTAATAATGTTGTTTAAAAAAAAGACTGGGCTGCCGTGTAGACAAAAAAGTGTGTTCGTGTGGGGCGGGAGCAAGTGACAGTGCAGAGAGGAAGCAGAGGCCGATTAGGAGGCTCTGGTCATTGTCTCGGGGAGAGATGGGGCCCCCCGGGCTGATGGGCAGCAGCGCATTCAGGGACAAGGGGTCAGAGATTCGGGAGGGGTTTTGGATGTAGCCCCTAGAGACTTCTGACAGACGGGATTTGTAAGTGAGAGAACAAGAGGAATCAAGGAAGACTCCTAGGTTGGGGCATCCAGTTGAATGGTGGGACCATTTTTAAGATGGGCAAAGACCAGGTGTGAGAAAAGTGGATCAAGAATTCTATTTAGGATGGGGCGCCTGGGTGGTGCAGTCTACTAGGAGTCCGACTCGATTTCAGCTCAGGTCATGATCTCAGGGTCCTGGGGTTGAGTCCCGTGTTTGGCTCCATGCTCAGTGGGAAGTCTGCTTGAGATTCTCTCTCTCCTTCTCCCTCTGCCCCTCGCCTGCTCCCATGCTCGCTCTCTCTCTGTCTGTCTCTCTTAAATAAATAAATCCTTTTTAAGATTTTATTTTATTTATTTGAGAGAGAGAGAGAGAGCACAAGCAGGGGGAGGGGCAGAGGGAGAAGCAGATTCCTCACTGAGCAGGGAGCCCGATGCGGGGCTAAATCCCAGGACCCCGAGATCATGACCTGAGCCAAAGGCAGACACTTAACTGACTGAGCCACCCAGGCACCCCCTAAATAAATAAATCTTAAAAGAAAAAAAAAGAATCCTGTCTGGGGCATGTTAAGGTTGAGAGACCTGTTTGATATCGCAGAAGAGAGGTCTCACCATCACTTGGCTTGCTGGAGAGTTCGGGGTTGGAGATTAAAATAATCAGGAGTCATCAACAGGAAGATGGTATTTTGGGCCTTGGGCCTGGCTGAGACCACCTAGTGGAGGGTGCGGGGAGATCCCGAGGCCTGGGATTGAGCCCTGGGGCAGCCCAAGCAGAGGAACGGCAAGGACCCAGGCACTGCAGCCGTGAGAGCCAGACGCAGGAAGGGAACCAGGCAAGCGCAGGGCCCAGAAGCCCAGAAGGAAATCTACAGAAGGGGGGTAACCCGCTGCACAAACGCTACCAAGCCCCAGCTGAGGACTTGTGCCTCTCCCGGCGGATCTGGCGACTTGCTGGACCCTACAATTTATTGTCCAAACCAGTACACTTTAGAGGGTGGAAAGTGGGTTTTATGAGTGATTACAGCAGGACAATAGGAATAAATCCAAATTGTCCCAGCCTAACAAGGAAGCTTCTCCACCCCGGCGATTGATGCCCTTGCGGAGGAGGGATCCACGTAGAGGTGGGGGCGTAGGCCCGACGGGGGCGAGGCCGAGAGACAAGGGGGAAGGAGCAGCTGTGACAGTGACTCTCAGAGTTGAACAGACAAATGTGGGGGCGCCCCTGCAACGGACCACTCCTCAGCAATGAAAAGGAATAAAACTCTTAATCACACAACACGGCGAACCTCACTTCTGCTGAGTGAAAGAAGTCAGGCCAAAAAGAGTACGTAGTACATGCAGGATTCCTTTTATATAAAAATTCTAGAAAATGCAGAGTAATCTGTAGTGACGGAAAGCGGACGGGCCGTTGCCTGGGGGCGGGAGAAGGAGGGAGGGTGGGATTACCAAGGGGTACCAGGAAACTCTGGGGGCGACAGATGTGCTCATTAGCTTGATTGTGGAGATGATACACCATAATGTATACACGTGTTAAAACTTACCAAGTTGTAACGCTTTAAATACACACAGTTCACTGTATGAAGTACGGATTCTATTTCTCGATAAAGCTGTTTTCCAAGAAAGAGTTTTGCTCTAAAGGGGAATGGACAAACAGGGCAGTGGCAGGAGGAGATGTGATGATATTTTAAGCATGAACAAGGAAACATTCAACGTCTGTGTAGGGGCACAAGTGTTGTGGGGAGGAGGGGACAGGAAGGCTAAGCCAGGGATCCTGTTGTGAAGGTTACCTTATGAATGTCATGCCGAGGACTTCGGAATTCATCCCGTCAGCCTGAGGTTCTCTACCTTCCGTGTGCCAAAGAACCATCCGGAGAACCTGTTACAAGTACAGCACCACACCATGTCCCCTCAGCCCCCCTCTGATCGCAGCTGAGCCAGGACAGCCCCTGGGCGTGCTCACAGGGCAACACCTCAAGGGCTCCCAGGTCTCTCTGCCTTTTGAAAGCCACCAGTGCCCTCAACTTGTGTGGTGGGGAGTCAGTGCCCCCAGAAGCAACCTTCAACAGTGGAGAAGCGGCTCAGTGGATAAACACCCCAGCCTCCCGCATTGGGAGGGACACTTCTGAGGTGCATTCTGTGGGTCCCTGCAAGTGCCCCAGCAGGATGGAGCCCCATTTGCCTACAGCAGGGGCTCAAAACTGCTGGGGGGCTTTCTCCTGCCCTATCTTACTCTCCCTTCTCCCTCTTGGGAACAACTTCTAAGTAAGCAACCTTTACTCAACCCTTGCCTCAGGCTCTGCTTTCAGGGCACCCAAAATGGGACACCCATGGAATCAGGGGCTCTGCATTTCACATGCACATCAGGCTTTCCTGACGTAGAGGTCCCAGGAACCGTGTATTAAAGAACCAGCAGTGGAGAACAAGAAGCATTTCACAAAGGGGAGTGACTGGGCCAGCTCTGTTCTTGTAGGGAGTGAACTCTGGCAATGTGAAGTTGAGGTTGAAGGCGGCAAGAGACAGGAAGCAGGCAGACCAATTAGCAGGCTGTTACCAGTGTCCCAGCAGGGAGTAACGGTGCGGTGCGAAGGCAGCAGCCAGGCTGTCTCTTTGTGAACGTCCTTTGATTTACAGAGTATGGAAGGGTTCACACAGAAATGACACCAGCCTTATTTAACATCCTGGGCGCTATGGGGTTTTCTTCGTTGTTGTTTTTTAAAGCTCACGTTTCTAGCATCCCATATGTTTCTTTTTGATCTCCTACTTCCAAACTTCGATACATCAGCCTGATGCCACGCAGCTTTATTTTGTTCAATCTTGTGTTTTTAGGATCTTGACATCGGTGCCAAGAACGTGAAGCTTTACGTCGATGAAAGTCTCATCTTTGATGGCACATTAGACAAAGGAGGTGGAGAGACCCCGGCTGACTGGAGCATCCCGGTTGCCCTGGAAGAGGAGCAGGATGAGAGCAGGGGAAGGGCCCTGGCTGCCCCCTTGGGAGAAAGCAGAGAGGCCCGCAAGATGGCTGGCACAGATGGGGAGCTCTCGCCGCCAGCTGCAGCAGTAGCTGATGTGAAGTTCTCTTCCCAGGGAATGTTACTTGGAGGAAGGATGAATCCTCCCGACTGCACGAAGGACAGCTTGTCCAAGTTGGATGAAGACACGAGCTGCCCAGCAGCCCCAGCCTTGACGGGGGGCATGCCGGGGGCTCCCCAGCTCTGCCCGCCTGTGGAACGCCCTCCCCTTGACCCAGAACTCTCCCTGGCCCAACAGCTGGAAAACCTCACGAGCAGAAAAGTCTCCGAGCCACCAGCGAAAACCCCATCGTGGTTGCAACCTTCTGCCATAGTGAAGGGCAGGAAGCAGGGAGGCAGGAAGCCCAAACCACTCTGGCTGAGTCCTGAGAAGCCCCTGGACTGGGAAGGCAGACTTGCATCAGACACCATCATGGACACCGTGGGGGAGGCTTCTAGAGAGGCCGAGGTCGGGGATAAAGGCCCGAGGCGTGAGCCAGGGCGGCCGCGCAGCTGGAATGTCATCGCTGGAGAGAGAACCCAGAAGGTGACCCCCAAAGTCTGTGATGACTTTGACATCTTTAACCAGCCCTCCAACAGGGAACACCCTGCTAGTGGGAGGAGGGCCCCGAGGAAGGACACCCTCATCAGCAGTCACAGTGATGGCCCGCCAACTGGCAGAGGTAAGCTCGAGAAGCAGGCTGACCCGGTGCCACCGTCCCCGAGCACAGTCCACTGATTGGCATGATACCATTTGGCTCCATGGACCTCTGTTTCCTCATCTGCAAAGCATGGGGGTTCTTCTCAAACAGTGGTCACAAATTCACTGTCTCAGGGGGCCACAGAGGTGACAGCAATAAGTAGAATGGGCAAGACAGTCTGCACATTAAATTCCTCTATATATTTTTCATTGCCACCGAGTTATGTCCCCTTTGCCCATTTTTCTTGCCACGTGGCTTTTCCAATCTAGGCTTTGCTATTCCACCTCTGATGGAGACGTTGGTGTCTAATGACTTCACTTTATTCTTAACTGTACCATCAGAAAAATAACACAAATGTGATGAGAAATAGCACTTGGCACTTGCCTGGGCATGGGAACTACTACAGGGAGTGGTGAGGACCGTGGCACTGGCGAGAGCCAGCCCATCTAAAACAGGCAGCTGCTCCCGCACTCAGAATTCTTTCTGGCAGTCAGCAATGCAAGGCCGATGTGCCAGGCCTCCCTTCTCCTTTTATAAAGAGAAATCAGAAGCGTAGAATATTATTCTTCAGTATTGGCAATGGATTGAGGGTATTTCTAAAACCGCTATGTAGGTAAAAAAAAAAAAAAAAAGAATCTGCTGGGAGGACTCACCTGGTGTTTGCACTTTGCAGTCGATTATATCTGAGCAATCTGAAAGGCTGGGTTTCTAGATATTTGCACTCCAATCTGGCTCCTGGGAAGGTGCGTAGCCCAGCAGCTAGGCATCAGACCATTTGATCCCAGCCTCTGTTGCTTCTAGGCTGGGACTTACAGAGCTGGGCGCATCCACTTTCTGAGCCTCAGCGTCCTCCGCGGTAAAATGGAAACAAACCACCTCCCCCCCCTCAGTACTGTGAGGAAAGAATAAGAAGATGGAGGCACATATAACTAGAGCCTGGCGTGGGGGGGGGGGGTGCCCCGCAAGCACCAGATCCCAGGGCCTCTGAATGCAACTCCGCCCCACCGAAACCCCTGGCCTGTGAAATGACACCAACCATACCATCTCTCGGGAGGATAAAATGAGGACATGTGTGTGCAGCATTTGGCACAGTGCTAGCTGCAGGTGTTAGGTGCTGCGGTCCATCATCATCCCTCCCCACCCCCCCGCTGTGTGATTCTGCCTCCTGGCGTATCTGTATGTGAAGCCGGGGTATATTCCCTAGTGAATCGAGTCAGCGTCTATTGTGTTACCGTCCAGAAGACAGACCGCAAAGGTCTGCACTCAGCCCGAGTCTATGCTTAGACGTGCAGAGAGTTGGTGGCTTCTTTCAGAACCCCAAGGTCACATAGGGCACTGGGGCACGTCCCTCAGACTCGGGGCGCCTTTCCGAGTAAACGACAGGCTCCCTTCTTCCAGGCAGAGTTTCCCCCCGGGCTCCCCAGCCTTACACACTTCTGCTGCCCACTTGGACTTAATCCTGAGACTGGGTGTTAGGGAGGAGAGCAGAGCAGAAGAACCAAGAAGCTCTTTGAGGGCAGAGACTGTGTCTCATCTGTATCAGGGTCCCCAGGACCCAGGTGCCCGGCACGTGGTGGGTCCTCTGCAGTGTGGGAGGGGTGGTGTAAAGAAGGAACTTCGGTGGCTGGATGCATGGCACGTTTGCGTTAAGCTAGGCTCTCGTCCAGGCATGTTACTCAAATGATTTCATCCTCATGCCAGCCCCATTTGACAGATAAAGAAAATGTGAGGTTTAAGTAACTTTCCTCGGGTCGCATGGCCAGAAGGGGTTAGAGCAGGATCTGAACCCAGGCCATCCTGCTCCAGCATCCATGCATCGAACTAGTTACCCTATGGCACCCCATTTCCGCAGCTGCCCGACCAGGGAGAGCCAGGCGATCCGGAGTCTTCCTGGGAAACAGACCCATAGAACCTCTGGGAGCCCCGAGGTGATGGGTGTTATTCTAACTTGTCCACATTCAGAAGATTTGGTCTCATTTTCATTTCTTTCCAGGCATTTCACTGCTTGGCTTAATGACACATTGAGAACGGAGCCCTGGAGATTTAACACTTGTTAAGCCAGTCATGCTAAAAAGGAAAGTTGCTTAGAAATTTTAAATTACCCATTACATAGAGCCAAATCCCACAGCCATGCCCTTCAGGAAAGGTGCGGGCCAAGCCCTCCAATATGCTTTTAGAATAAGTGACTGCCTGTGTTCTTCCCTGGGGCTAGAGTCATGTTGTCCCCAAAGGATAGAGCCTGGAAATCCTTTTGTCCAACAGAGCATCTCACTGTAATGTCATCTGCATTTTGGAAGTGTCTGCATCAGGGGTCCATTGGCTAGAAGTGAATAAAATTGCACCTGCCCAGTTTGAGCACAAGACCTCCAGAGGCAGGAAGTGTGGCTGCCCGTCACCTAAAATTGGAAGGAGGAAGCAGAAAGCCAGTGGGCGCCCAGGAGACTTCTCCCCGCTGACTCCCCAGGGCTGCTGGGCCCTGCCTCTGCCACCTTCCTTCACTCTTCCTCATGAGATCAGCTTTCTGTGCTCTGTGTGCAGGGCAGGAGGTGCCCCACAGCCCAAGAGTGACAGTTGCCCTGCTCTTGCTCCCAAAGTCTCAGGGGAGATGCTGATTGGCTGACATGGGTCAGGTGTCCGCCCCTTGTCCAATCAGCTGAGGCTGCCGGACTGTTCACCTTGAACACACATGGCTCTGTTGTGTCTCCCTACGTTCAGTCTCGTTTCCCATTTTAGGAAGAACTAGCATATACCTCGTGGTGGTGTTGACTTTTACAAGCCCGAGTTTCGAACTTTGTAGTTCCTGTTTACCTCCACCAAGGGGTAGTTTTAAGTCTTCAATCCCATCATCTCATCCTGGGGCCCCCAGCCTGCTGTCACATCCAAGAGGTCCAGGAGAAAGCCTGCACCTCTCTGCTTTCAAAACCCTGACTGTACGTCTTGGGGAGAAAAAAATCAGAAAGCAGGAGCAGAAGGAGAGCAGAGTCCTGCCTTTCTTGCCCACCCAGGCCGAGACACACAGGCTGAGTCCCTGACACATGATGTCTGTTCCCTCTCCTCAGCTCCCTTACAGCCCAACCCAGGCCATTCATTTCAGTCAGTGGAAATCAAATCCCAATAAACCGATGTCATGACGATCCATATGGGAAGTTCCTTCTGCCAGATGTTAAGCCTCACGCCTGGAGGAAAGGAAGGAACTCCTGGGGTCTTTTTTAATGGCAGACGAAGAAGGAGGGGAGAGGAGAGGACAGGTGCACCAGAACTGACAGGTGGAGGGGGGAGTCCCTCGGCTCCCAGGCGTTGCATAATGGTGATGCCAGCCATCCATCCCTGGGCCAGCAAACGTGGACTGAGCGCTTCTGTGCACCACGTTCTATGCCAGGCCCTGGGACGTGGCAGGGAACAGGGCAAAGAAGTCCTCCCCAAGGAGGAGGGGGCCAAGAAGGGCCAGCACGCAGAGATCCGGGAGAAGGGCAGAACTGGCAGAGGGCACATCAAGCCTAAGCAGGAAGAAGACTTGTGTCCATGGAACAGAAAGACCCACACAGTGGAGCTGATCATTAGGGAGAAGGTGTGAGGTGAGATTAGAGAAGCCGGAGGGGCCACACCGAGGCCCTGGGGGGTCATGACGAGGAGTTAGATGTTCTTCATTCCCAGCTGGAGACAGTATGCCAACTGGAGGAGTTGGTGACAAATTCCCTTTCAGGCACACAATGGATATGTCTGGACCTCCGGAGGGGTCCTTGGAACTGGAAGGTGGTGGCGAGTGGAGAGAAGCCAGAACTTGACCTAGAAAATGGCAACCAGGAGCTGGCGGGGTGAGGTCTGAGAGGGAGGGCAGTGTTGAGAGAGGACCGGATGGGATAGGGCCCCGGCATGGGAAGGTGGGCAGCAGCCGCAGGGGAGAGCCCGGAAGGGCAAACGCTCCTGAGCCGGCAGAGGAGGGACTATCTAGTAGAAGAGCTTCGCCTGGGTTGTCAAGCATGAGGAATGAAAAAAGATTGAGTACTCGGAGTCATCATGTACTTGCAGCTCAGTGGAGGGTTGTGAGAATTACAGGACTCTTAAAAAGGCAAGGGATAGAACGCCACCAGGGGTTTGACTTCAGGCATGGCTGCATCCAGGGGCTCAAATGACTCTTTCTCCGTCTCTTGACCCACATTCTCTGTGTTGGCTTCATTGTCAGGCCGGCTCTCCCTCGCCCCCAGTGTAGCACCAGCACTGCACGCCCACGTCCGGCATCCTGCCACCCAGGGCACCAGTCTAAAGAGAGCCCCTCTCTCTCCGTAATTCCCTTCCCAGCCTGGAAGGATGCTGTCAGCATTTGCCTAATCTGGATGGTCTGACCATCCCCATCCCCCTTTGGGGGATCCCCAAAGGAAGATCAGAAGGGCAGGTGGGGCTTGGGTGGGCCAAAGTAAGTCTGCAAAGAGGCCCCAGGTTGCAGGGGTTGAGGGAGGGTGGGAGTGAGGAGGGCGCAGGGGCTGCAGCCAAGGGAGGGAGAAAATCGGGTGGCAGTTAGAGGAAGCCACGAGATCAGGCCCGGCTTCCTTTTTCTTTCCGGTAGGAGAGATTTATGTGTGTCTGCAGGCGGAGAGAGGGCAAGGTGCCAGTGGGGAAGGGGTGATGGAGCGTTCTGGAGAGAGAGGATAATTGATGGAGCCAGGCCCCCTAGAAGCCAGGCAGCAAATGGAGTGGAGGGCACAATCCAGTATGAAAGGAGGAAAAACAGAACGTCAGTGTCATCAGCTGCTATTTTTCCAGAATGACACCCTTACGTGGCAGTTAGCCGTGGCGTGGCTGTGAGGCCAGGCCAGTGCTGGGGCGCACGCTGAGGCTTTTCTGTTCTACGAGGAGTAGACTGCGGCCTTCAGAGCCGGCCCTCTGAGGGCCAGGCCCGTGCTGTCCATGTGCTGGGGACTCAGGCTTCTGTTCTCGAAGCCAGCCTAGCCACACATAGGAGTACATTCCTTACCTGTGTTGTCAGCGTTCCTTATAGCACTTTTTCCTGATTATAAAAATAATACATCTGGGGAACTTAGAAGATCAGGTGACCGAGAAGAAGCTAGAAGTCCTTCCTCCTCACCACCCAGAAAGGAGCATATTAACACGTTGGTGTGTGCCGCCCCTACCAGGGTCTGCGCAGCCAAAAGAGCATAGCTGGCTCTTTTCCCATCGAACATTCTTTCACGAACGTTCCACCTACCGTTAGGCGGTCTTTGAAAACACTGTCAGTCACGTGATGTGACAGCCTCGGAGCAGCCCCTCCGGTTGCTGACTCAGGCGCTACATCCCCAACCCCCGCCCGTCGTGGGAGCCTCTGACGTGCAGAATGGCTTCTTGCACAGGTTCTCACGCAACAGAAGGTCTGCCCTTGACTTGCATGGGGGTCCCATTCTCAGAAAATCCAAAGTATGTTGAAAACTGCTTTGCTTTTTGCAAAACAACCAGATTCTAGACTTGGGTAGCCATGATCAGAAACCAACCTGAATGTTGGCGTGTGACAGGAGGCCGCGACTGTCCCCATGCAGGGCAAGAGATTAACATCCTGGTCCCACCTGTCAAAGGTCAGTAGGGTCTCCAGGCATTGAGACCGAGCCAGGAGCAACCCCCTGATTTCTAGAATGTACCCCTGTGGGCGACCCCACCTAGCCGAGAGCCCCTGGTTGAGACCATCCGTAAAGGTACCTGCTCACACATGTGCCACTAACGGGGCTTCACCCCTCCTGTGTTCTTCCAGAAGACACCTGGTCCGGCAAGATGCCGCCACGGTCCCGGTGGTGCAGTGAGCAGGATCACATGCTGCATGAGTCCTGGGACTCCCTCAGTGCCTTTGACCGCTCCCAGCGGGGTCGCATCTCCAACATGGAGCTGCAGGGGGACATCCTGGACGAGTTCCTGCAACAGCAGACGGGCAGCCACCACAGCGACCAGCTGCCCCCGGGGAAGGAGGAGAGGCCGGAGCCAAGGAGAGGGCCGGAGGACAGCTCTGCAGAGACGCACGACGGGAGCGACTTTGAAATCCCTGTCTTGCCTTATGGACAGCGCTTGGTCATCGACATCAAGTCGACGTGGGGGGACAGGCACTATGTCGGCCTTAACGGAATAGAAATATTCAGTTCTGAAGGGGAGCCGGTGCAGATCGCGAACATTCGCGCGGACCCCCCTGACATCAATGTTTTACCAGCCTACAGGAAAGACCCCCGCGTGGTCACTAACCTCATCGACGGGGTGAACAGGACCCAGGACGACATGCACGTCTGGCTGGCCCCTTTCACGCTGGGCAAGCCCCACTCCATCTCCATAGATTTCGTGCGCCCTTGCCAAGTCGCCCTGATCCGGATTTGGAACTACAATAAATCTCGGATACATTCCTTCCGCGGCGTGAAGGACATCACCATGCTGTTAGACACGCAGTGCATCTTTAAAGGAGAAATCGCCAAGGCCTCAGGGACCCTGACGGGAGGTAGAGTATGTCTGTAAGAATGTTCTGGAAGCCCCTACCTGCTACCCGCTGAGGCTCTGAGGAAAAACTAAAGGCCCTGGCTAGCCAGTGACAGATGGGTCTCTCCTCTTCCTGGGCCTGGCTCACTGCTCGCTTTTTGCAGCATAGGGGTGCAAGGGCTGACCTCATTTAAACTCCTCCCCTGGGCACTGGCCTTACTCAGCTTCCCTAGCACTTGAGTCGGAGAAGGGGGAATTCTTCTGCGAGCAAGTTATTGAGGGGGTGCTCCCGGGAGAGGCTGTAATGCAAGGAGGGAGACAGGATGGGAATAGGGAGATGCTAGGGGTTGAGGGAGGCTGAGTCTCAGCCTGATCCCAAAGGGAGTTCTGGAGCATAAATTGCAGGATCTGTCCTGCCTTAAAGGCAGAGCAGCTGGGCTCTCTGGGTTGGGGGTATAACTTGACGCCCTTCCTGGCAAGCCTCCAGCCCCCAAAAAGGGATCAGCAGGCACCTGGGTGGGGGTCCAACAGCATCTGCTAAGGTGCCTCCCCCACACCTAAGAAGCAGCTCATTTCGCAATGGATCACAGCCACTCTCATTAGAATAGCTCCCTTCATTAGGTCCAAGTGGTTCTTCAGGCATGTGAATTTCATTTGCAAATGTGTGACTAATAACAAGGAAGGCTTCCTAACACAAATCAGGAACTGTTCGTATAGGCCAGAGGTTGATGGGTCTGGGCTCCTGCTCTCCAAACCATGGGGATTTGGGGCCAGTTGACTCTTCCCGTCTCCATGGTATCCCATCCAGCCCCAGAGCACTTTGGAGACACCATCCTATTCACGACCGACGATGACATTCTGGAGGCCATATTCTGCTCGGATGAGACATTTGACGTGGACGTGGAGAGCCCCTACAGTCTGCAGAGCGAGGAGACGCCCAGGAGGCCGAGCACCGCCGGCAGCGATGGGGAGGACAGGCCCTACACCCAGGCCGGCCCATGGGCTGAGGACCGGGTAGGACTAGCGGGGAGGGGAGCCCCCTGGAGAGATTTCTCCTCCTGACTCCACAAGGAGCAGGAGAAATGAAGATGGATAGCCTTTAAGCTGTTGGTGCTACTGTTTTGACATTTCCCATTTTTCTACTTCATTTTTTGGTCCTCTATATCATATTTCATTCTCTAATTATGTTTTTTTTTTTTTTAAAGCGAAGTGAAGAAAGTATTCAAATTTTAATCAAAGCTAGGAGAAATCAGTTCTGCGTCATCTCCGTAATTTAGAGGTTGGCAGTCTCGGGGAAATTTTTGCTTTGGGTTGCATTTTGATCACTCACTGTTGGTTTTGATGGGAAGGACTGGAAACGCTTTTAATAGGCAGGCTTAGAATTAAAATAATGATCATCTCAGGCATCGTTTCCTGCACACGTGGGGCGATCCAGTGGTGGAGCACCACGTTACAGTGTGAACCACCCTTGCAGGTAGAGACCATCAGTATCCCCATTTAGGAAACCAAGGCTCAGACAGGTTAAGCGACTTGCCCAAGGGCACACAGCAGGAGAGTAACCAGGCTACACCTTGATTGCATGACTCCAAAGTCTGTGTTTTTAACTTGATAAAGCAGTGTTTTAAGAAGTGAAAGAAGACTCTCAGGGGAAGGGCCAGTCCAAGTGAAGGACCAGGAATCCAGAGACCCAGGGCCCCCAGGGATGGTCTTGAGGCCCTGAGGAGATGGAAGAGATGGTTACAGAAGGTGGGAGAGCAGAGTGGGGGCAGCTGGAAGCCAAAGGACAGACGGGGGGACTTGGCAAGGTCATGAGGCTGTGGCGCGCAGATCCCACGGTGTTCACTGGAGGGTATAAGCCACAGGGGCCAGGAGGAGTGTTGTGCAAGACTGAGGGGGTGCTTGAGCCCCCTGCTTCTCAGGACAGACAGGAGTTGCTAGTTCATGTTGATAGTTGTCCTGATTTTCCTCGAGAGAAGCCAGAAATCTGGGTTTTTATGGAAAATGTCCCAATTAAAAAATGTTGGCAACCAAGTGGGAATGCTTTCAAACCTTCTATGAGCCACCGCACGTCTGTGGTCTGGATTTGATCCCGGGGTCTCCAGTCGGGAGCTGACCTTGTAGCCTTTCACGTGCCCAGCACTTTCCAAATGCTTCTAAGGGTCTCTGATCGTATCCAGCCTGTGAGGGACAGGGAGGAATCCTTCTCCCAGCCCAAGTTCTGGGAGGCCAGTGGCTCACCCCTAGAAAGTGACAGGGCTGGAGCTGCACCCCACCTGTCTGGGTATCCAGGTCAGCGCACCTACCAGGGAGCATCCCAGGAGGCTCTGGGAGGGCAGGGAGCCAGGGAAGGCAAAAGAAGGCACAGGGGTGCCAGGGCAGCAGCCTTCCTTGGTGACCAAGGCTGCTGGGCATCGTGGATGCTCCTGGCAGGCCACCTTCCTCACTCTCCTTCAGGGCCTCAGGAGGCTGTGTCTAGGGGCCGGGCTGAGGGCGCCATTGTTCCTGGGACCGAAACACCATCCCCACCGAAACTCTCACATCCAGGCAACCAGCTTCCCTTCCTTTTGCATCTTAGCTTCCTTGTTTGCAACGTAGTAAAGGCCCTTTTGCCCTAATTTATGGTGTAGAGGTCTAATGAGCAAAATGTATATGGTGGGGAGTGGCTGCCCACTGTGACTGCCTCTAGACCAGGGCTGCTTTATCCTGGCTTCCCCTGCCAGTCTCCTGAGGGGCTTTAAAAATGAAGATGCCCAGGCCTCGGGTTGGACTTTTCCCCCCTCCTTCCCTCCATCCCTCCCTCCTGATCCTTCTCCCTCCCTCCTTCCTCCAGCTCCTTAGGTAAACATCTGTTGGGTCCTTCCCTGTTCCAGAAAATCTGATCCCCTTAGCTGGTGGCATCAGACTCCTCCCCTACCAGTAGGAGCTGGTGGCAGGGACTCAGACACACAAGGGTTTCTGGAGCTGTCCATGTTACCTGTCATGGAGCTTCCACAGTGGCAGAAAATGCAAGAAAAGACACAAGGGGTTACCTGGGGCTCAGGGTGCATAACAGCATCTGGGAAAACAGCCAGCTGTGCGGGTATCACTAAACTCACCTCCTTTCCCTCTCTTTCTCCCCCAACCTGTGCACAGGCCCTGGGGCTAGAGCGGCCATCCAGTCCCCCTGCCCCCGAAGTAACCACGCCAGAGCCAGGCATCTACCACGGGATCTGTGAGTATCCTCTCTTGGGACAGTGTCCAGTGGCAGGAGGACCATCAGGGGCCAGGGGATGTCATGGCCACTTGGGGCAGGGATTCCTTGGACAGTTGGGCAGGTTGTACATTGCAGAGATGCCAAGCTGCGGGATGAGTGGGTGCTGACACAGCCTGGACTGGGCTCACTGGCCCCGGCAGGTCCGCATCACTTCAGAGGAGGGATACCTCTCTGCAGTAGGCCTTTCCAGAAGGGCACTCAAACTCAGACACACGCGCAAAGAAAACATGCCTCTTCCCTGTTCCAGGTGGGGCGGAGGTGGCAGGAATCCTAGCCCAGGGTGCTGGTCTTCTGAGAAGACAGAAATCTGAATATTTACGTGAAATCTCCAAATTTTTAAGTGTTGATGAGTAATTTTATAATATTTTAAAACACCATATGAGCCAAACAAAACACATGTTGTATGTTCAGCCTGCCGGCTGCTAGCAGATCCTGTGGCCTCTGAGCAGATCCCATCTGGGCTTCACTGAGTCCATTCCCTCTTCTTTTCCCTGCTGACCCTTCTAGCCAGGTCCTCCCTCACTCCATGCACGGGCCCACCAGCACCTGTGCTGCATCCTGGGGCATCTTCAGGCCCGAGGTCCTGGCTGATTGCTCTCCCTCCCCTTCCCTGTTAAGGAGGCTTTGTCAGCCAGCTCTTCGCAGTCACACCAGCTGGAGTTCCCTGGGGCGTGCTCTTGAGGGAGGGCAGCAAGCGGGAAGGGCAGAGGGAGGAATTGGGCCCCGTGCAATTCCCCTCCCCGGGAAGCCTGCCCATGTGCCCAGTAAGAACCATCTCTCCCACCCTTACTGCACAAAGACAAATTCCCTCTTAGAAGAGGGGAAGATGCCTTACTTTGAATCCTCACAGCTCCTTATATTCCAGAACACTCTCTCAGTTTCTCTCAATTACTCAGAGACAACAGAGAATTTCTAGAACCAGCCTAGTGCCAGCAAGAGCCTGGTTTGGGGCTTGGTTTCGTCTCCAGCGCAGACACCATGCTGAGGCTTCCCCTGCCTTATCTCCCCGGGCACTCAGTTCTTTTCCATCCATAGAGCTGGATCCAGGGGTGCGAATGACGTCATCAAGCCTTGGCGTCTCCCTCCCTCCCTCTGCGCTGTCTCACTCTCTCTTGCCTTTTCTCCCACTGGAACCCCGTCCATGCAAGGGCTTCTGTTCCCATTGTTCAACAGTCGGCCCAGAGTCAGGTCTCCCCGGCCTGGCTTGGGTCACGTGCCCATCCATAAAACAGTCAGCGTGGCTCACCCGGCGGGCCAGGAGTGGGGGTGAGATGCTAAACCTGGATTGGCCTGGGTCAGAGCCCATCCCTGGAGCCCAAGGCGAGGGGTCAGCCACCTAGTTGTGCTCTAGTGGAGGTCAGAGTGCCACAACCAGGGAAGGAAGGAAGGAAGTTTGGCCCCGAGGCAGCCACTGTCCCCTTCATCTGATGATTTCCCCAAAGATACTGTCTGTAAACGTCCTTCCTGCTGAACCAGCTTCTGACCTTTCTCAGAAATGTATTCCAATACCTTCGGGAGTATGGCCCGGAGCAGAGCTCAGAGCCCCTTTTGCTCTAAGGAATGCGCGATGTCTCTGCTTCCCTGCTTGGTAGGTAGAACCTCCTGACCAAGCATCCTATGCGCTTTTGGAGGCATGTGATTTCCGACTCGCTCTTCTCTGAACCTTTTTGTTTTCCCTCCACTGTCTCTAAAATCCTAAACCCACTTCACCAGCCTGTGCAAATGGAGAGCGCTTTGATAACGTGACCCAAGGGGGATGCGCCGGGGTTGGTAAATATGGCCAATCCTATTAATGTTTTGAAAGGGGATATATGACTTGCTAATTTGCAGATGACACTAATTTTGGGCGTTTTGCAAATATCAGCAGTGATGAATAGGAAAGTAGCTGAGAGAGTTGAAACGTGGGAGAGAAATAACAAAATTAATTTCCATTTATATAAATACTAATTGATACACCAGAGGAAAATGAATATGGAATGTGAATATTAGCTCAAACAGGAGAGCAGGTGCTTTTGGAGCAACCCCAAATTAGATGTCCTTGCAGCTCCCCGTGCCAGGCCAGCAAAGGGGTGGCCAGGGAGAGGCTGGGGGGGCCTCCTCCTGTTTTCCCCCCGGGGAGGTGGCATTTCTCCCTCACAGCGATCACCTCATCCAAATCCACTTCCTCCTCCACCTCCGTGCACTCTGCCTCTCGGGATCAGTACCCGCAGCCACTCTGTCGCTTGGGTCAAAAACATCGTCTTTCCCTCACTTCTGCACAAGCCACTGAGCATCCTGGCAGTGCCACCTTCAAAACAGATCCTGAATCTGGCCACTTGCCTCCGTTTTCAGGAGGGCCACCCCTTGTCCAGCGTACCTGGTATCACAACAGCCTCCTCCCTGGTCTCCCTGGAGGACCCAACCCCCAACCCGTGTGAGGCGTTTCGAGTGAGCCCCCCGCTTCAAAGTCTAACCCTCCAGGGGCTCCCCACCACAGAGAGAAGACAATCCCGACTTCATGGCGTGCTCTAGGTTCTGCCCCACCCTTCTGCCCTCATTTCCCTCCACCACCCCCCCTCGAGCACTTGGTTCTAACCACAGGTCAGATTTGTTCCCATCCTGGAGCCTGTGCCCCTGCTGTGTCCTCTGAGCCTGGAATGTTCTTCCAGCAATGCTGAGGAGTGGTGGCCTCCTCCTCATCAGCTGGGTCTCAGCTCCGGTGTCACCACCTTAGGCCCTCCCTCGCCTCCCCCCTCCCCTCAATCCCTCCCTACCCACACCTTCTTGGCTTCATGGCATCCATTGCTCTGTGGAACTATCCTATCTGATGGTCTTCACTGCACTGGAAGCTCCCGGAGAGATTCTGCCATGTGTTGACCCCCTGGGTCTCCAGGTCCAAGGACAGGGCTCTGTACATGGTAGATGATCAATAGATATTTGTTTACCATTAACTATAAATTTGGTGAAACTCAGTGATCTTACTTTGATTCATTTGCCTGTGCTTATCAACTGAATGCATACTCTTTGATCCATCATTTATTTAAAAAGAAAAACAACTTTTATTGACCATCTATTTTCCAGATACCGTTCTCGGCTCTGGGGACACGACAGTGCAGAGTTAACAGAGCTTCTCCCCTCAGGGAGCTTCCATCTTAGTGGGAAAGACAAGAAAACACACAAGCAAAGGAGTGGAGAATACATTGCCGGGTAGTGACAAGTGCTGTGACGAAAAATAAAGCAGGGAGTGTGGGGGGGTGCCATTTGAGTGCGAGCGGTCAGGGAAGGCCTCTCTGAGGACATGACACTTGAACACAGACTTGGGATGAAAAGGAGTGTATCGATTAGCTTTTGCCACAGACCAAACTGACCCAAACCTGAGTGGCTTTAGCACAACCACTGTTTAATCCGTGATTGGCTTACAGTTCACTGGCTTGACTGGCCTCTCCTGAGCCTGCTCACAGGTTTGGTCAGCTGGCAGATGGGCTGGCGGCCAAATGACCTTGGATGTCTTCTCTCCCACATCCAGCAGTTGGGAGGCTGTTGGCCCGAGTGACGGGGCGAGTGACGGGGAGACCAGGGGCACCTGGCTCCTTCCACGGCAGGACTCCCAATTGCAGCGAGGCACAGCTGTGCGCTTTCCGTCCTCTGCCCAGCCCTGCCTTTGCTGCTCTCCTATTGGCCGAAGCATGTCACGTGGCCCAGGCTCAGGGCGTGAGAAATGGACTCCCACTTCTGGATGGAAAAAGCAGCAACGTCACATTGCAAAGAATCTGTGGCCATTTTGCATGCTGTTGGTACCGTGAGAAGCTAGAATGTGCCCGGTACCATGCTGGCCACACATCATTTCCATCTGTCCCCAAGATGTTCTCCGTGCTGCCTCAGCCCCATGGAGAGCAGAAGGATCAGAGGCTGAGTTACAAAACGTATGTTGGAAATGACAGGTGTGTAGGAAAAGAAGCCAAGCTCCAGGGAGACTGGGTGGCTTGGCCTCCCTGGGCTTCTGCCTCCACACCTGAGCTCAACTAGGTGGGACCACGTGACATCCAGGCGGACTTCTGTGAAAGTTGCAAAGGGTGTGAATCTTCTGAAGACAGCCCCCCAAGAGGGTGCTAAAAGAGGCTCCAAATTCTCCCAGGGTAGAGAGTTCACTGGGCTTGGTCCTGCTCTAATGGGAGACCAGTAAGGAAAAAAAAGTTCTAGCCAAATACCTGACAGGACCTGACCAAGGGCTTCATTCGGTCTGAGCTCTCTGGGCAAATGGATGACTCACCTGGGCCGTATTGCCCCAGGACCACAGAGGGTCACTTCTAGATGGTCTCTGATGGAGCAGGGGTGAAGCGGGGGCAGAAAGATGGGGGTATAGTTATAAAACACTTCCTTACCCTGAATCCCAGGAAGTCTTGAGATAGTGCCCAATTTGTATAAAACGTCCATTTCTGACGTGCTGTATCGACGTAGCCTCCTACAAGCAGTTACTTATTTAAACATTCCATCAGGACTGAGCTCCTGCTACGTGTCAGGCACTGTGCCAGGCTTTGGGGACACAAAGGTCTAGCAGATCAGATGGGGTTTCTGCCCTCAGGGAGTTCACCTCTGGCAGGGCAAACGGATATCTACCAAATGGTCACAAGATCACGGCGGTGACCAGGGCATAGAAGTTCACGATGACATGGCAGGCTATGGGTGGAGGTTTGATGCGGTCAGAGAAGTCAGAAGGGCTTCCCTAAGGAAGTGAGTTGGGATCTGAAGGGTGAGCACAACTAGGCCATGTGGGTTCCAGAGGGAACAGCATAGTCAAAGTCTCTGTGATGGGAGAGAGGAATGGAAATAGGAATGAGTGAAAGACTATCTGGGTAGAGCCGTGCCCCCTGGTATAAGATGAGGTTAGACAAGTAGGTAGAAGCCAGATGGACAAGGCCGGTTGGCCAAGCAGCACGGGAAGCCACGCTAGGGTGTTAAGCTCAAGGGGGGCGGGGGCGGGCAACGTGGTGGATGCATGAGAAAGGATCCAGGGCCATGTGCAGGTTTAAAGATTTTATTTATCTGAGAGAGAGAGAGTGAGTGAGAGAGAACAAGCAGGGTGGGGGGAGGGGAGGAGGGAGAGGGAGAAGCAGACTCCTCGCTGAGCAGGGAGCCCAAGGTAGGACTCGATCCCAGGACCCTGGGTTCATGACCCGAGCTGAAGGCAGAAACTTAACGGACTGAGCCACCCAGGCGCCTCCCATGTGCAAGTTTAAACAACACTGGTCCATTCATCCTGCAGACATTTCCGGAATATCAGCAGTGTCCCAGGCCCGAGGGTCACTGAGAGAAAAGGTAGAGAGACCGCCCCGAAGACACTTTCATTTGAGTCTGGGTTTTCAAGTTGGCAGAGGCTGAAGGGAGCTTCTTTTTCCGTCTCCATCTTGGGCCCTCTTCCAGAACCTCTGGTGTTCATGGGCCACTCTTCCTCCTGTTACAGGCCTTCAGCTGAATTTTACCGCCTCCTGGGGGGACCCGCACTACTTGGGGCTCACGGGCCTGGAAGTGGTGGGCAAGGACAGCCAGGCACTGCCCATCAGCCTGCACCAGATTTCTGCCTCCCCCAGAGACCTAAATGACCTCCCTGAGTACACCGATGACTCCCGGACCCTGGACAAGTAAGTGTCTGTAAGAAGCCACCTGCACAGACCCCCAGAGACATCCCCTCCCACCACGAGCAACAGAACACTCAGCCCCTGAGAGGCGGGGTCACTCAGGCTCAGATGCAGAGCTGGGCCTCAGGGACCTGCTCTGCATCTTTGACTCCAGAGTCAAACATCAAAGAGTGTTCCCTATTGCACCTTCCCCAGCCACCCCATGAGGCCTGTGGTCTTCCCATTTTATTTATTTATATGTTTTTAAGTAGGCTCCCATGCCCAGCGTGGAGCCCAACACAGGGCTTGAACTCACAACCCCGAGATCAACCCCTGAACTGAGATTAAGAGTCAGATGCTTAACTGACTGAGCCCCCCAGGCACCCCCTGTGGTCTATCGCATTTTAGAGTCAAGGGAAACCAAGGTTTGGGAAAGGGAGGTGACCCCCTCCCAGGGCCACAGGGCCAGAAGCGGTGGGCAGAGTTCTGCTGCTCCCAGACACAGTCATGCTTTGTATGTCCACCACGCTCAGCGTAGGGCCTGGAACGCCGGCAAGAGCTTGGCAGGCCTCTGCCGGGCCGGCTCTGCATCTGAGCATGAGCAGCCCCGCCTCTCAGGGGCTGAAAGCTTGCCATTGCTCATGGTTGGAGGGGATGGTTCTGGAAGTCTCCACGAGCGGCTATGGGCGCCTTCCTCCGCTTTTGTCTGATTTCATCAGCCCAGACTGGGGCCAATCAATAAGAGGGCAAGCCTGGGATAATAGCATCAGTCCACGCGCCCATCACTGCAGACGGGCGCTGGCCCCCTGCTCGGGACAGCTGCCGGGCCTGGGCGCTGCCTGGTATAAACAGGAGGAGCCTAGAGGGGTCAGAGGGATGAGAGTTCCAATTCTAGCTCGGCCCCTTGCCAGCTAGTAAGTTTCTTAACCTCTCCAACTACAATAGTAATTGGATAGTAATAAAATTATAGTGGCTATTCCTGGAACCCCCAGTTAATGCCAGACATGGGGCTACACTAAGCAGGTTAGAGATACTCATCCATTTACACCTCAAACAGCCCGAAGAGTCCCCCACTTTACAAATGAAACTGAGCTACAGAAAGATTAAAAACTGGCCAGAAGTCACTGAGACTAGTTTTGAAGGGCAGAGTCATCTGAATAGAGGTCCATGGGAGATCCACACCCATGCACCTAACCACTGACTTCTACTGTCCCCCCACTGCCTCGCTTGCCTTATCAGTAGAAGGGGATCACCACACCACATCTGCACCCCCGGACTCGTCCTGATCACCTGCAGTCAATGGTAGACCTGCTTCCTCCCTGCTTTCCCTTCAGGGGCCCCTTAACTGTGGCCCTCACACCTGCTGTCCATGTCTGCTCATGAACCACTCAGCACTCCACATCTTGGCAGATCACCCATATACTTAGGCCTGGACCCCACAGACCCAGCTCCCAGTGCAAAAGTGATCAGCACATGGCCAGCCCCGCTTGTTCATCCACATCTGCCCACTTACCAAACCCCTCCACCCAGAATATATGATCACAGCAACTCCCAAGCCTGATAGCACTTCATCTCTAAACATTCTGGTATGTAGTTCTAAACGATAAGGACTTTAGAAAAGTACTGTTATTACACCCCAAAAAATTAATAGTGATTCCCTAAATTAGACACCCAGCATGTTCCTATTTCCCTGAAAGTCTCCTCACCTTCCTTTTTTAAGTTTGTTTCTTAAATTGAGGTCCAGATAAGGCCTATACATTGTGATTGGTTGGTTTGAGGTCCAGATCCATATGTTGTGATTCTTTGATATGTCTCTTAAGCTTCTTATAATCTCTAGGTTCCCTTCCATCTTTTTTCATTTTTTTCTTACAAATTATCTGTTGAAGAAAGGTTTGTTTGCCCTACAGAGTCTGGATTGCATCTCCATGGTATTGTTTAACCTGTTCCTCAGGCCCCTGTATGTCTTATAAATTGTTCATTAGATCTAGACACCTGATCAGATTGAGATTTGACCGTTGGGGCAAGACATGACCTGGGGGTGTGGATGTCACTGTGAATTCCCTTCAGGACATATAGAGTGTCTGGTGGTGAAGCTTTTTGTGACATTGGCAGTCAGTGCTCAGTGGCTAGATCCACTTGGTTGCCAGATGGTGGTGTGCCAATCCTATCATTCTTTTTTTCACCAATAAAGAGAAATTTTTCTTCAATTATTTGGTTACCCTGAGGTACAATGCAAATAGGAAAGGCAGTCTAAATGCTTGGTTCTTTCCCTTTGTTTTTCAGTTTGCAAAATAAAAAATTGTTTCCCTGGCATACTTTAACACGTTTGTGTTTGACTATCATAAATCATGGATTTAAACAGACTATGTTTGAAGGGTTTCAATTTATTGCAGTTTTTATCTTATTGATGCTCTTAGATACTGAGAGCTCCTGGATCCTTTTTTTAAAATAGTAGTCTGTAACAGCTTTCCTGCTTTCTGATGTCATAAGATAGTCCAGGCTCCCCTTGTATATTTCTTGTTCTAGACGTGGAATCAGCCATTTTTCCCAAGAAGCCTTGGTTCCTTCTAGTGGGAAGTGGTATTTAGAGACCATAATCTAGCCACTAGAGATGCTCATTGCTGCTGGGTTGGTCACAGTTTCTAGGCTTTTCTGTAGACAGAGCTGGGAAATATCTAGATATTCTTAGGGGTGTCTGTAGGGACTTCCCTTCACCATCGACTATAAAGACTTCAGCAACTCTCCCTACTTTCAGAATTGGATAGCAGTTTTGCTATGGAGGCAGCCCCATGTCTAGGACACAGAAGTAATTGCTTTTAGAAGGAAATGGAAGGTTCTGTAGTCACCCTAATTCCACAAACACCTCCGTTTTAAATTGCTGAATTTCCTCAGTTTTAAGATGCCAGCAATTGTAAGACACACCATCCATCAATTTTAATAACAGCCTTTTAGAGAAAAAAAAGGAACATTACCTCCTTGGATGAACACTGAGATTGTAAAATTTATTCTAAATCCAGAACTTTAAGATGTAAAAGGAAAAAATAAAGTTTATTTTTACATCTAGGAATTTCTCCCAGCTCCGCAGCCTCAAAGTCACCAGGAAATTAGGAGGGAGTGGGGGGAAGGGTTACCCAAGACGCTGAGAGCTGGGCCCCTGTTTCTGGGGTCTGGGCTACGGTGTGCTGGGCAGTCCAGGGCAGTCAGTTTGTCTTTGGGACAAACACAGGCCAAGTTGAGAAGGATGAGGCAGAGGATGTTCAGAACAGGAGAACCAGAAAGTGGCCAGGATAGGAGTGCAATGCGGGTGAGGTGACGAGTTCATTCAGAACAGCGGCTGATAGGAACACCAGGGTGCTAGGGGCTCCCTCCTAAGGGTGGGGGGCTTCCCTAGGCTGTCCAGGCTGGATGGTTCTGGGACCAGCTCCCCACAGACATACCTGCCCCTTCTTGTGCTTTTCCCACACCAAGAGCTGCCAAGTTCACCCTAGTGCCTTAGCATCTCTCTCACTGGGCACCAGAAAGAAGGAATCGAATTCTTTCAAAATGTACCATAGAATCATGGAACACTACATATAAAAAAAAAAAAAAGGGCGCCTGGGTGGCTCAGTCGGTTAAGCGACTGCCTTCGGCTCAGGTCATGATCCTGGAGTCCCGGGATCGAGTCCCACGTTGGGCTCCCTGCTCAGCGGGGTGTCTGCTTCTCCCTCTGACCCTCTTCCCCCTCATGCTCTCTGTCTCTCATTCTCTCTCTCTCAAATAAATAAATAAAATCTTTGGAAAAAAAAAAAAAAAGTACCATAGAGCCAATACAGCATTTTACAGAAAGTTTAGAAAGTAGAGAAAGGCATCCACCTTCCATTCTCTCTGACACAAATGTGTTTTTCACTTTTGCATACTCTCTCCTGGCCCCTATCCTCATCTTCCAGCATTAAAATCGTTTTCCACGTCACTGCATCATTCTCATGATTATCATATTAACAACTGTACAGATTTACCTAACCCTTTGTATTGTGAGACCACTTGGGTTTTTTTGGTTGTTGGGTTTTTTTCCTATTTTGCTGATATAAATAAACAACACTATAATGAATATCTTCATGCAGATAGCCTTTCCAACAGGTTGAACACATTTTCCTTAGAGGAAAACAATTCCAGAAATGGGATCCCCGGGTTAAAGGGTCCTGAAAGATGACACATGTCCCCCCTTTATTTTAAACCTTGATGATTGCTTTGCCACACCTTTAACAGCACAGACTGTTATTTTTTCCAGTTTCTTTATTTTGTCTGATTTTACAGATGGGATGTGGCCCCTCACAGTGGCTGTAATGAATCCCACCTCCGCTCAACAAGCCCAGTTCAGCCAGGCTCGCGCCAGGCAGGGTGCAGGGGGCCATAAGGAGGTGTAGACCCCCTGCTCTGATTTCTCCCACAGGTCGTGGCCGAGCCCCACCTCACTGCTCCCTCCTCACTATTCACAGGCTAATCGATGGAGCGAACATCACCATGGAGGATGAGCACATGTGGCTGATTCCTTTCTCACCTGGCCTGGACCACGTGGTCACAATCCGCTTCGACAGAGCCGAAAGCATTGCTGGCCTGCGCTTCTGGAACTACAATAAATCTCCCGAGGACACCTATCGCGGGGTAAGCTGGGGAATAGCAGCCACGCTCAGTCCACTGTCAGGGAAACGGCGCCTTGATGAATGGCTGGTGTGGCTGCCGGAGAGGAGCATAAATCTTCCAGAACTTTCCAAATGGAGCTGGGGGGTTACAGCCAGGGGGAGAGCGCACTGCTATTTGCTTCTCCTGCAACCAGCAAATGTGGGCTCGAGAGCCCAGGGCAGACTCGGGACACAGAAGCGCTTTGTTTCTTCTGGGGGTCGGGGGTCCTCAGCAGGCCCAGCCCCCGAACCATAATGGTGGATTGGGGCCCTGTTGTTCATTGAGCGCTTTGGGGGCCAGGCCCTGAGCTGTGGGCTCTGCACCCATTCATTCTCAGGGGACCCTCACCCCAGCCTCTGGGAGGCAGGTGTTATTCCCCCGCTTTCAGGGTATTACAAACTGGGGTTCAGAACAGTGCGTTCACTCATCCCAAGGTCACACAGTGAGCCCCAGTGCACATCTGCTGGGCTCGGAGCCCATACTCCAGTTGTTCTGTTCCGCTGCTGGGTGCGACAGAGCAGGGACCCCCGCTGCACTGCAGAAGGAGAACACCACAAGTGCCCTTTGCATGGGCTCTCCTGTCCTCATGTGACTCTGGACTGTGATACACTCGTCCCCTCCCACCACAACACAGAAGTGATGGTAATAATGTCCCCTGAGATACAGTAGCAATGCCTTTGGGGCCCTAAAGTCACAAGGCCCTGGTCGGAATCCCCACTCTGACCCCAACCAGCTGTGTGGCCTTTGGCGAGTGGCCTGCTTTCACTGGGCTTCCGTTTCCCCATCTGTAAAGTGAGGAGGAAGAGGCTGATACCTCCCTTGGGAAGGTGGTCATCATCCTCTGCCACACGGACGTTGACAAAGCCAGGCCTCAGCCTCGGGTCCCGGGAGCCCCGGGTGTGGCTCCCCACCATGCACGTGCCACGGAGTTTCTCCCATAGGCCCGGTAGAACTAGGGGGGTTTGCCAGCGTGGAGTTGGCGGCCCCCAGGCGCTCCGCTTCTGGGGCGACAGCCCCTCGAACTGTACAGATCCTCCCGGGCTGCGCTGGCATCTCCCCGAGTGTGCTCTCAGGTCAGCACGTTTGGAAAGGCAGATATATTGGCGTTAAGAAAACATTCTCTGGCTCACCTCGTGCCTCTGGGCCTGTACGTTCCCGTGAGCGAATCAGTCCTTCCAGCTAAGGCTTGTGACCTGGATTGGCTGCCTGGAAATATTGGACCCAGAGCCCCCGCTTCCCAGGCCTGGCCGCCATCTGCGTCGGCGTGGGTGACAAGTGGCCTCCATGGGAGGAAAGAGGTGGGGAGACGGGCAGAGTCTGGGAGGGGGAGATCCCAGAGTGCTGGTGATGGAAACTATGCGCCTCCCCGGGAAGATGCCTCGGGTGCCTGTGTCCCCCAAGGCCTTCTGGGCGCCCTGGTGACAGCCCCTGGCGTGTAGTTAGAGCCGGGCCCTACACGCTGGAGATGGGGCTTCAGATCCCTGCAGCATGTCCTTGGGCAAATTGCTTAGCCTCTCTCAACTCCTAGTCTCCGTGGCTGTAAGATGGAGGTAATAATAGAAGCTCTGTCCAAGGGAATAAACAGAGGCGTGGGAAAGTCAGGGGCACTTCCTAGAGGAGGGGGTAGCCCTGGAGTGGGGCCTTCCCGGACCTCTGCCCTGTCTGCTGCCAGCTTTGGAATGGGTAGCTCCATGGCCCGCTGAAGAAGGATCTCCTCTTTCGAGGCGAGCCAGCAAAATCGCAGGTGTCTCCGCTGATTGTTCTGGTCTGGTTCCATGTCCCTGGTCCAATCATATGACCAGTGCGTGACAGTTCTGTTTGTTCAGGTCCAGCCCTTGGGCCAGGGTCTCAATCCATCTTGAGTAAGGCCAAGTGGGGAGATGTAGGACAGCCTTTGGGTCCCCATATCAAGCCATGCCTGAAGCCATTTACCCTACACTTTTCAGGCTTACATGCCCTGTGACCAGCTGCCATGAGGGGGCCCCTGAAATGCTGAATGGAATGAAGGGCCCCGAGGTCACATTAGTTAGCAGTGGGACCCAGGCAGGGCCCCTCTCTGCACGGAGGAGCTCCCCTGCATCTCCCGGAGGTGAAAATCTACCAGTTTGGTCAGCAGTTGGGCCCACGTTGCTCACCATGAAGATGCAGGGAATCCTGATTCCAAAATGCGTAGTCAGAGAGAGAGAGCGCTGGCCCACTGCCCCTCTCTGCTCACCCACCACCCCCCTGCCCAAGGGGAGCAGATGAGCTACTCCAGACCCTGCCGTTCAGACTTTGAGATTTACCGGTAGATCCTGGCCTCCGGCTGGTGAAATCTGCCCTAGACCAGGGGAACATGTTGGCCCAGATCGAACCCATTCGGCAAGCTCTTGGTAAGTGCCCGTGACTCACCAGGCCCTGAGGCAGAGCTAGATGGCCTGGCCAGGGTCTCTGCCATGGAGGGAGACCCGAAGACCACCAAGGATGCTGCTAGGGAGTACCTGCCCTAAAGGCACGAGCTCGGGGCTATGAGGAGGAAGATCAGGAAGGGGCTCACCACGTTGTACCACCTCAGGCCACTGTGGCCAGTCAGGTGGGGAGCAGGGGAGCGCTGGGCCAAGTCAGATGGCAGCCCTGAAACTTGGGGGCCACCATGGCGGGGGCCGCACCTGCCCGGTCCCCTGCACGCAGCACAGCACCTGGCGCGGAGTACAGATGGGGGGGCCTGGCCAGGTGGTCCTGGTCTGAGGGAAGGGCCAGACAAAGCGATGTCTCAGGCCTGGGGGCTCCGTGAGGGCTGCCCATCACGCTCGGCCCGCCCGGGCATCAGCCTCTGTCAGCACACGCTGCTGACCTGCATGCTGGCTGGCCTCCTTTCTTCAGGTGCGTTTCTCCTTTTGTTTGCTAGGCCAAAATCGTCCACATCTCCCTGGACGGCCTGTGTGTCTCCCCTCCCGAGGGCTTCCTCATCCGGAAGGGGCCGGGCAACTGCCACTTTGATTTCGCTCAAGAAATTCTCTTTGTGGACTACCTCCAGGCCCGCCAGCTACCCCAGCCGGCCCGGAGGTGAGGGCGAGCAGCGGCAGGAGCATCCCCTCCCCGTCCCCGTCCCTGGGCTGCTGGCTTCACGCATCGCTCTGAAGTTGCTACCTAAAGGTTTTGAAATTATGATCAAACACATCGCTTTTCAACTTGGCGGTTTTCTAAAGCTCTGCCAAGCCTCTGCGGAAGCCCGTGAGATGTGCCCACCTTGTCTGGGGATGTTTGGGTTCCCCACAGTCTGGAGTGCTTGAGCTTTTTTAATGCTTCGTTGCACTTCCTGCTGGGAAAAGAGGCTCCAGCCTGCATCCGTTCCAGAAATGCCCGCCGGCCAGTTCAGGGAAGGGCCTTCTCTCTCTTGGTCCCGAGTTCCTGGTTTAGGAAGATTCAGAGAGGAAATGAGAGCCTAATATTTCATGGGTGCGCTGGTGTTTCTTGGCCCCATCTCAGCTGCGTTAAGTTTATAACAATTTGTAAATACCACGTTCAGTTTACTCATTTAACCGCACCCCGCCCCCGACCTGTGTCCAAACGCCAGAGGCCAAGCTCACAAAACAAAATGAGTTTCCCTCCACTGTGGCTGGGATCACTTCTTGGGCCAGTCATTGAGAACAGCGACTTAATTATAACATTGCCCTTGAAATTGAAGAAAACCAGCAAGGCCTGGAGGGTACTGGCCCGGGACCAGGGAGAGAGGCCCCAAGGGAGGAGTGTGCAGGGGGAGAGAACCCTTCCTCCCAAGTGCCGGATCTGTTCGGAGGCTTTGTATTCATCCTTCAGGGAACCCTTCCACCCACCCTCTGAAGAAGGGGTTATTATGCCCATTTTACAGATGTGGGCATTGAGGCCCCCGCTATTGAAGCCACTTGCTCGGGATCACAAAGTCAAAGCCTGCAGGGTACGCCCCACCTTCCAGCTGCCTCTCCCTGCCCGCCTCCCATCCTGCCCCACACCACAGGGCCTTTGCTCTGTCTGCTCCTCTGCAGGGAAGTTTCAGCTCTGATCTTTGTGTGGCCGCCTCCTTCTTAGCTCAGGCGCCAGCTCCCAGACCACCCCCTCGGGTAGCCTGCCCCAGCCCTGCGCTCCCTCCTGTCCGCCGCCCCAGCATGGGTCTCACTCAGCTGTCAGCACAGTGTGGACTTGCCTTATTCATGGAAGGGCAGGAGAGCTGGGTGGTTAAGAGTGGACTCCAGAATCGGGTAACCTCAAGTCACATCCCAGTTCTGCCCCCTGCCAGCTATGTGGCCTTCAGCAAGTGACTTCACTTCTCTGTGCTTGTGTCCTCACCCGCAAGCCAGGGCTATAAAAGTACCCACCTCCCGGGGTTGTTTTGAAGCAAGAAGAGTCCATATAGACAAGCCCGAGGTGCCCGAGTCCCCCGCAGTGGAACGGGACTCCGCAGTGGGCACACACTTCGCTGGTCGGTCCCTGCTGCTAGGGAACCCCCCCACCCCGCCACCACCGGGGGAATAACTGACCAGCCATCAGGGGCATCACGATCTTCTGCTTCCTGGTGCTGTTTTGTGTCTTTTTAGGCTCGACTCGCAAAGCCTGGAGCGGGCGACCATGGACTACGAGGCGCCCCTGATGCCCTGCGGCTGTATCCTCCTCCCACTGTCTGTGCATCCCGGGCCCTCGGGGCCACGCTCGGTACCCCAGGGGAGGGCTTGGCCCTTGTAGCAGTGTTGGGGGCCCGGGCAGGCCACGGCCGAGGAGCTGGGGCACCACACCGGGAAACCTAGGGGACGATGGGAGGCTTCCCAGGGCGTCGGGCTCGCTGGGTACTGCTGGGGCGGGGGGCAGTGACAGGGTTCCAGACCCCACCTCCTGGCCGGCTGAAGTTTTGGGAGGCAGCGCAGGACTCCAGCTGGGAGGGGCCAGAGAAGCTGGAACTCTCCCCGGGGACTGAACTGGGGGCTGTCCTTGGAACCAGGCAGGGAGGAGGTGAACCTAGAAGGAAGGATAGCCCCAATTCGCTGGATCCTTCCCTGGGCCTGGCACTGTCATAGTGCGTGGCATTATTAACTCAGGCCTTGCCACAGCCCGGTGCGGTGCTGCTGCGAGCATCCCCATTTCTCAGCTGAGAACACGGAGGCCCAGAGAGGCGAAGGAACTTGCCCAAGGCCACAGAGCTGGGAAGGGGCGGGGCCGGTGAGTGAACGAACATGAGCAGCCTGGCTCTCTCAGTAGCCTGTTCTCCCGGACCGACTGCCCGTGGCTAAGCCACCTTTCCTGCCCTGCCCGCCCCTGGCATGCTGGGAGCTGGTGGGGGACGGGGCTGAGGACTGTGGGATGCGGTCAGCAATGGTGGTTCACGCGGCCCCGGCCCATCCCTCCCGCTGCTCCAGAGCTCATGGACTCCCCCCCTTAACTCTCTCCCCCACCCCCACGCCGACCCTGCACACTTGAAATGGACGGAGGAGGGAACGGGCACTTCGTTCTTGTCATTTTACAACCAGGGAAACTGAGGCAGGAGACAGTTGGAGTCCTGGTCATGTCGTTCAGCGCCACCACGCAATGAGTTGTGACGCACACGGCTCTTGTCCTGCCAGCCCCTGGGGAACGGCACCCTCCCCTCCCGTCCTCCTGCCTCCCGGGCTCAGAGGACAGTTTTTAACTCTTAAAACACACACATACGCAGTTGAACTTCAGAACAATTTGATGCCACGTATATTTTGATGGGCTTCAGTCTCAGTGAGAGAACAAAAATGATTTTTTTTCCTCTCATGCATCTGTAGAAGCCCCCCAGAGTATATCCCTATTTTATCTTTGTCCTTGTTTTGCTTTGTTCTCAAAAAATTAAGCCTGTTTTTCCTTAATAACATCCCCTAGTCATTTTCCAGTTGCAGCTCCTGACCAGCTGGGGTGATCCCTATTATATTGGTCTCACAGGCCTGGAGCTGTATGATGAGCGGGGAGAAAAAATCCCTCTGTCGGAAAACAGTATCCTTTCGAGGCAGAAGGGGACTCCACCCCGACGGGAGGGTTGGGGGAAGGAGAAGAAGTGTCCCTGTAGGAGCCCGACCCCAGGACTAAAAATGCCAGTGGGCTCTGCTTCGGGTCAGATGCTGACCCTTGGGGTGTGGGCAGAGCAGGGGGCAGCTCCCAGCCACCCCTGCCAAGGTATCCATAGCAGGAGTCCCACGAGACAGAGAGGCCTGTGGGCCGGGCATTTGGGAGAGGGTACCAGCTCCCCCCCCCACCCCGCCCCGGAGAACCACAAGTACTTTGGAGTTCTAAAGGCTCTGGCAAGGGCTTCAGGGAGCCGCCCGTGGCACTGTAATCAACCCAGTGTGTCCTGAATTTATTGACTGTGGACCCCTTTGTTCATGGAATGCCCCCACCAGAATTCGCAAACTGCTAGCCCACTGAGTTTTTAAATATTTTAGCTTAGTCGCTAATATTTTTTAAAACATCAAGGGGTTTCACATGAAAACCCCAGTCTCAGCTACTCTTGAGAAATTAGCAATAGTCTTGCATAGTGATGGTGGCTGGACCTGAGTATCCACTGCTCTTTGCCCCAAACATGTGCTCACTGTCTTCTACCAGGCCCCCAAAACAAATTGCTAATATTTACTGAGAGCTCGCTCTGTGAGCGCTTGTCCGGTGGTACCTCGTTGGCCCTCATAACCGTCTTGTGAAGTGAGTGCTGTTATCCCCATTTTACACGTGAGGAACTGAGACAGAGAGGTTAAGTAACTTGCCCAAGGTCACACAGCATGTGAGTGTAGAGCTGGGCGTTTGGCTCTAGAGACCATGCTCCGACCGCTGAGCTGTCAGGCATCTATCCTTGATGTCGCCTGCCTGACCCCTCTGGGCCCTTGCCCCATGATCCCTGCCCCGCCACAGGGTTCCACCAGAGCAGGCCCAACCCCAAAGCCTGCCTTGCACCCCCCTGGGGTCCTGGGTTCCAGTTGGATCCTTTTCTGCCTTCCCCTGGTGACACCATCCTCCTGGCCTGGCATAAATGATTCCTGGTGGTTTTGATGGTTATTAGTGATTCCTTGGAGGTATAAGGCTCATTCGATTTTACCGAGCCTGCTCACATCGATTCTGGGATGTGGAGGTTTTTACACCCATTTTACAGATGAGGAAGCAGGCCCCGAGATGTTCTGTGACTTGCCCCAGACCTCACAGGTGGGAAGGCAGAGCCAGAGCCGGAACTGGTTGGTCCAGATCCGCGATAATGTCCAGCCCTCGAGTAGCCATCGCCGGGTCAGGCTCCCCCAGTGCACCCAGTCTCGGGCTGGTGCCCCCATGCCAAGGCGGTATCCAGCCATCCCTCAGCCCCCTCGCAACAGAAAACCTTCGAAGTTTGCCCTCCACTCCCCAGAGTGCCAGCCTGGCCGCCTCCCCTGTTCCTGACACTGGCCACTCCCCTCCCCCACCCCTACACCCCCGCCGGCCTCAGTGCTCATTTTGCCCAGAATGGCTAATTTGGCTGCCACTTTTCCAGCTGCCCCAAGCAGCAGACGGCCGTTCTGCCCACCAGCCCTGGCGTCACACCGTCAGCACGAGGAGGCTGGTGGCCAGGAGAGTGGTGCACGGCGCCGAGCACACTGCTTTGGGTTATGGCAGCTTAGAGGCTCCCCAGATATCGCCGCTTTCCCCGACAGCGTGAACTCCCTGGAGGGCGTGTGCGGGGACGTCCGGACCCCCGACAAGCTCATCGACCAAGTGAATGACACCAGCGACGGCAGGCACATGTGGCTGGCCCCCATCCTGCCCGGCCTGGTGGGTTCGCGGGGGGACTTTGTGTCCTTGGTCTCGGTGACACGTCTTTCTTCCAGGCCAAGTTGATCACCAACAAATCAAAATGCCCGCGGGCCGTCAGGAAGGCGCAGGTCTTCGCTGACACCTCCGACGGGCACTTTTCAGGGGGGTGGTTCTTCCCCTTTGCACTTGGGGTGGTTATTGCAAGGGGCCCTGGAGAGAGAAGGTCCTACATGGGACTCTGGAGCCCCCGTGCTGCAGGCGTCCGTCGGTCCCCACAGGCAGCCCAGTCCCCTAGCCACATCCCCTGTGCCTCCTCCCCCCTCGATGTCACCGGGCACTGGACCCCAACCCGGCCTTCTCTCTGGCCCCAAATCCACCTGTCAGTTCTCAACTGACTCAGTTTCGCAGATCTCAGACCCTCCCGCTGGTCCTCCTTGTCACTTGGGGACCTAGGGGTGGGCCTTCGTTCCCCCGGGCCTGGCCGATGTTGGTCGAGAGAGAGGAGACAGGCCGGCTGGAGACAGGTGGTTCTAGCCCCGCGCCAGCCAGACGCCTAGGTAGAGGAGTGCAGCAGCCCCAGGGCATGTGTGTGACCGCCGAAGTGTCCCCGCTCCCTCCGTGTGACTGGGCAGGAGGACAGGGAGGTGTATTTTCCTCTCAAAACACAGAAAGGAGCAGCATCAGCTCTGTGGGAGGTTTTCCTCAGTGTCCTCCCCGCCTCGAGCCCCGAGTGTCCATCAGCTCCCCTGAGCGCCAGCCCCACCCCTGCAAGGGAGAAACACCGAGGTCTCTCAGCCCCGAGACCGGGGCACCACCTGTCCGCTGCCATCTTGAGCTTGGCCAGCAGGTGTTCCATCTTTCAGTGACTTTTGGTGTGAGGCAGTTTCTGTAGCTGTTACTCTCCCAGCTGGACTCAAACATTTGTATCTGCCTGAGCCCCGTGGGCAGCCGAGCTTGAGGACCTTTACCATTTCCACTGTGCAGCCGGAAGGCTGGCCCTCCCCCTGCAGCACCCCACCCCTGCAACCCCCGACATCCTCCGAGGCCTTCGGGAGAGGGCCAGGGGCTGAGAGCCAGAGCCTATGGCCCACACTGAATGCTCATTGCTCTCTTCTGTCTTGCAAGGGGCCCCTAATATGGGATAGTCTTTGTTGGGGCGGCAGGGGGGTGGGAAGCCGCCAGGTCTGACCTTACTGGCTCATTCTACCAATGATCTGGACAACACCCTCCCTGCTCCCCCTGTGGCCGTTCAAAGACACAGGCTGGAAATTACCCAGCAGCGCCTTCGGGGCCTGTCTGCTATGCTTCTCATTTAGGACCAGAGAAAGGACAGATCGGGGTCAAGGCCGTGCTGCCCGCCCAGGGTGGGGGGACAGTGCTCCTTGACTCTGCAGCTGGGGCCTGCCGCTTCGGCCTTGGGAAGCCCCTGCGCTGGGTGTCTGGTCGGACCCCGGGGAGAGGGAAGGGCGCACCCGGTTCTCTGCGGGTATTTAAATGAGGGCCACGCCAGGCCCCAGAAAACAGGCCCTCCCAGAGCCAGTCAGCGGTTTGTTGCAAACGCAGCCGCACGTGACCGGACTCAAGATGGGCTGCCGGGAGATGGAAGGCAGCGGGGACCCCACGCGCCGCGGCCCCCCAGCCGCCCGGGCGCCGCCTCCAGCGCCCATCGGGCTCGCCCCCGCCCGCGCCCACACCCCCTGCCCCACCCGGCACCTGCTTCCAAACATGCCTGTTTTCATGAGTTCTTGTCTCTGACAGGTGAACCGGGTTTATGTGATTTTCGATCTGCCCACCACCGTGTCAATGATCAAACTGTGGAATTACGCAAAAACGCCCCATCGAGGGGTGAAAGAGTTTGGCGTGAGTACTTACTTATCAGCTGGGTTTTTCGAGATAATTATGCTCGTTGGTAATTAGGCTGCTGACAATTATCGTTTGTCGCAGTTTGATTTACTTCTCTCTCTTGCCACCTTAGACACAAATGCCTGGTCCTCAGAGGCAGGGAAATTCGCTATCCCACCGTGAATCCAAAACCTGCCCCCAGTGATTTGAATCCTCCCCCTGAAAACCAAAAAGTGGCTTTTCTTTCATCTTTTCTTTTCCAATCATGTTGGTCTAGGGAGTTCTTCCCTCGGGGAGGAGACTCTGAGGCGGGGAGAGGAGGTGCCTTCCCTGGTGGTCACGAGGGCCTGAGACCTAACACGGGCCGGACTAGCCCGCGGGGCTCCGAGCAGTAACTCGCGTTGCCCGAGGCCACAGGGGGGAAGAAGGGGGGGGCCTCGGCCCCACAGTGCAGCTCCTCTGTGTCCCCCAGCTCCTGGTGGACGACTTGCTTGTGTACAACGGGATCCTGGCCATGGTGGGCCACCTGGTGGGGGGCATCCTGCCCACATGCGAGCCCACGGTGCCCTACCACACCATCCTCTTCACCGAGGACACAGACATCTGCCGCCAGGAGCGACACACCACCATCAGGTACACCCGGCCCCCCACCTCCCCCACCGGCCCTATCGGGGACAGATGGCAGGGGTCCAACCCACTGTCTTCTGCCCCCCCCCCCCAGCAATCAGGTGGAAGATCAGGACGTCCAGATGATGAATGAAAACCAAATCATCACCAACTCGAAAAGAAAGCAGAGCACGGTTGACCCAGGTCAGTTTGGCTGCTCTGCCCAGAGTGTCACCAGCAGGACTCCAGGCTGCATAGACGAGCTGGCAGGGGGATCCCATACCCACGCCCAGCCCTGCCTGCCCCTTGGAGCCCCTTCTCTCCCCGGGAGCCTGCGGGGGGCTGAGGCGGGGCAGAACCCCGGGAGCAGCGCGCAGCCCCCTTCCCGCAGTCACCTGCAGCTCGGTGTGGCTTCCTGGGGGCCGGGCTTGGGTGCAGACAGAAGGGGTTGCCCTGTGCCGTGGGAAACCAGTGGAGGATGCCCGGGGCGAGGGCTTCCCAGAGGAGGTGGTGTTCAAGCTGCACCCTGAGACATATGGGGAGTTGGCCAGGCAGAGGGAACAGCGTGGTAGAGCCTGCTGCAGCGGGGCAGGTCAGCGTGCCCGGGTGCCAAGCTTGGGGGCTGCAGGGGAGCTGCGGGCGGTGGCCTGGGCCGGGGACCCGGACAGTTTGCACATCCCTCCCACCAACCCCGGGTGTGGGGCGGCCCTGAGGGACTGAGGCTGGGTAACGCCCTCCTCTCTGGCCTCTCCCTTGACAGCCTTACGCCCCAAAACGTGCATAAGCGAGAAGGAGACCGCGCGACGGTGGCGGTGCTGACCGCAGAGGAGGGGGCCCTGGTCCTCCAGCCAGTGGTGCCCGTGTCGCCCGCCCCCGGTCCTCAGCCTTGGCAGCCCGGACTCCGGGCGCTGAAAGAGGGAAGCGAGAGGGGACTCATGTGGCCTGGCCTCCCTCTGCCCCTGGGCTCTGGGGCGCCCTCCCGGGACCCACGCCTGTGCGCACAAACCCACCAGGACGGTGAGGTGGCCGGGGGGCCCCCCTCCCCTCCCTGCAGAGCGTGGCTGCCCAGGGCTCAGCCACCAACCGCCACATGAGGGGGGGCGCCAGGGGAGGCCCGAGAGGAGGTGCCAACAACCCCCGTCCCCGCCACACCCCTGCCTCATCTGGGGGCTGGCAGAGCCAGCTGAGAGGGTGGCGTTGTTCCCTGGTCCCCAGATGTCTAGCCAGGGCTGCTCCAGCCCCAGACACCCTCGGGGATGTGGGTGTCTCACGGAGGAAAGGAAGGGAGCCGTGCCCACCCGCCACGCTGCCAGGCCCCCCTAGGACAGCGATGGGCAGCTTCACACCCCAGACGGCCAGCAGGGCCCGTCCAGATGCCCTCTGGACGCGGGGCAGGCCGAGGACCAGGCCACAACCCCACCCCCCTTCCACTTGAACTTTGCCTGGAGGTGGGCGGCCCTCCCTCTGGTCTGAGTCCGGGCTCCTCCTGCTTGCTCCTCCCTTCTCCGCTCTCAGGTGCCCTTGCAGGGAGGCAGCGAGGGGCTCGTTGCCCAGCACCCCCCCTTCCAGCAGCTTCCCCTCGAGTTGGAAATGTGCCTTGCACCCCCAGCCGAGTGAAGCTCAGAACGTATCTATTTCCATCGACGTAACAAGCTCGGATCAGGGACCTAATTGGTTTCCCAGTGGTGGGTAATTTCTCGTTCCAAATATTAATCCGTTGTTTTTCTGGCGCCCAGCCCGGCCCCGCCGCAGCACTGTACTCCAAGTAGGTTCCTATGCAACCGAGAGCCCCAGCAAATACTTTATGAGCTTTGCAGCTTCGGCCGAGCAGCTATGCAAATGCACTTTTCATTTGGAGCGTGCGGCCGATGTGAAGATAAGGAATTGTTTCTCCCGGAGAAGATCCATCATTTCTGTAGCTTCCAGGGCCCCCGGCTCCCGTGCTCACCTCCCAGGTGTGGCGAGCACCTCTGAGGCCTCTGGGCTCCCAGGAGAGCTGAGGCCCAGGGGAGCCGGGGGCTGATCAAGCCAGCTCTTAGGGACCAAAGCCAGTGCCACCGCCACGTTAAAGGCAGCCCAGCTCTCTGTCCCCACGCGAGGCTGGGGCACAGGTCAGACCACCGCACACACACTCGCTCCCAGAACCTCCACTGCTGCTGCTAAGAATTGTATGCGCCATGTAATTTAGGAGGGGAAGAGCTGTACGGGCATTAACTGTAAAATAAATGTCTATTTTTTTTCTCTTGCAAAATCAATAAAAGATGTTATTAAGAATATGGTCTGACGTGCTGGATTTGGGGTCAGGCAGAGGGAGCTGCCTCCCAGAACGGAGTCAGAGTTTGCTGGAGCCTGGTGGAATGACACAGGGCGAGTCCCCTCTCTGAGCTTCCCTTTCCCCACCTGCAAATGGGGGCATGATCGTGGGTAGAGGATAGAAGCCCATACATATATAGTGGTTATTTTGTGTCCGGAACCACCTCACTGAATCCACGTTACAACCCTCTGGGGTCGGCACTATTACAATCCTCCCTTCACAGATGAGAGAATTGAGGCACAGAGAGGTTGAGTAACTTGCCCAAGACACACAGCTTCGGAAGCCATTAGTGCACAAATCCCAGGATAACCACGGGAGAGCTGAGGCGGGGTGAAATCCTGGGGTTTCCCTTAGGCTTAACGTGGATTCTAGAAGCCAAGCCCCAGATGCCCGATTCCTGGTCTGTCTCCTGGGGTTCCCCAGGCCCCAGCTTCCTTCAGAGGTGAGCATTGGTGTCTGGATGAAGCGGCCCTTGAGTGGGAAGAGGGTTCACTTGGCGGGGGGCTGGTTCTGGGGTACAGGTCAGGTGCCAGCAATTACCCTGGGGCTACGCAGGACGGCCCCTTGGAAACCCCACCTCCGTCCTCTGTCCCAGGCCGAGTGGAGAGTCGCTCTGGCCCCCTGGTATCGGAGAGCCTCCCCGACCTCCCTCTGCAGTAGCATCTCTGGGCCAGCCTTGGAGACGCTGGAGGGCGGGCAAGGCCATTCTGTGTTCCTTCTATGGGGCAGGAGGCCGGGCACTGCATCGGGGGGACCTGGTCAGCAGCGCAGCGCACGCCCCTTCTGGGGGACAGCTATAACTCAGCGACAGTGGTCCAGAGATGCCAGACCTTCAGGGATTTTAAGAGAAGCCAGAAATCCAGGTGTTTTATCTATTTTTAGTGTGAAATCGCACTTGTAAATGTTGGCTCTAACTTAACCAAGCAAACACCAAGTGAGCCAAACTGGTGACCAGTCCCGCGTAGGCCCCCCCGCTTCACCCCAGGTCCCACCCCGCCTCAGCATGAACCCCAGTGCCCCCTCCCTCTCTGGTCCCCCTGAAGGCTGCAGTCCCCAGCCTGTGGCTCTCCGAACGCCCAGAGCTCGTTCTTCCCTGGGAAGTCAGAGGAGGGAGGGGACCGATCCTGGGCCCTCAGACCGCCTAGGGCACAAAGGCAGGGGTCTGTCTGGTGACCTTTGCATGTTGGAGGTGGCAGTCCCCACCCTCAGCCCTGGTGGGAGGACAGACACCTTGCCCTGGGCGTCCTTCTTCCCAGACCTCGCATCGGCACTGGGCTGTGGGGTCGGGGGGCTGGCTGGCACCTGGCGTGGGGTTCCACTCCGGGCTACGGCTGACGAGGGGCCTAAGGAAGAGCCGGCCTCTGGCCTCTGGCCCCCGGGGGACCCACCTCCTCTGTCCGGCCAGTGGGAAGGACCTGCCTCTGCGCGTTTGTTCATTGGTCCCCAGACAGTCCTGCGCGGGCACCACGACCGCAGAAGGCCCCCGGGGCTCCCCCGGAGCCTGCCACGGCGGTCTCTGCACTCTTGACAGGGGGCGGCTGCCCCCGCCCGGACCTGTTTGCTGCCATGTCCCCCCCCCCCCCCCCCCGCCCCGCCTCAAGTCCCTACCGGAGGCTCCCGGTCCCACCCAGCCGGCGAGTGGAACAGCAGAGCCCACTCCGATCTGGCTGGCTGTGCGGGTCCGGACAGCTCCCTGCTTCCCTGCAAGAACAAGCAGCTCTGGTCCCCTTTACTCATGGCCACCGGGGCCCCCACGGCCCCTCTGTCTGGGGCCCCGCCTGCGTCCCTCACCTGCATCACCTGCATGGCCTGCCGGCGTTGGAGCATGCACAGCTGTGTGCACAGGTGCGTGCACAGGTGTGCACAAGTGTGCACAGGTGCCAGGGCCGTGGGGCCTGGGGGGGGGAGGGGGGCCGAGCCCCTGGCGAAAGATAGGGCCCCAGGTGTGCGGTGTCCTTGGGGCTAAGTTGGGGCTCCAAGGCTGCCCAGCTCCCGACCACGGGCTCCTCCCCAGAGCACCCCGGCCCCGCCTTCCACCAGCCCCTCCTGACCCTTGGGACGACCCCCCAGCCTCCTCCGGTTGGGCCACGAGGGGCACCGGCCTCAGAGCAGAGGTGGGGTCTCAGCCCCTGCAGGCCGCTCGCCTCGCTCCCCAGCCCAGCCTGCACCCCCCAGGCCGCCCACACTCACCCTGGCCGTTCCTGGGGGGATCAGACCTGGGGGGGGACGGGGGGGGCTTGGGGCAGGGGCTCGCCAGCCTGGCTTCATGCGGTGGAACTTCTCCCACATGGAAGTCCCCTGACCACTTGTCCCAGGGCGCCCCCCAACCCCTGCATCCCGGCCCGTCCTGGCGGCGGCCCGGCCACCAGCTTCCCCGTAAGGCAGAGGCTCGGCCGGTGTCAGTCCAGGATGAAGTGTGGCCCCCAAAGCAATTACCGGGATGTCACGGACTGGGCTGTGCTGGGGACAGAGCAGAGGTCCTGCACCAGGATCTCCTGTCTGTCCACTCAGTAAATCCCCACACAGAGGAGACTGGTTTTCCCTCATGACTGATGGTCCCCGGCTGGGCTGAGTTTGTCCTCAGTCCCGTCCACCTGTGCGGTGGTGCGATCTGTTCACTGGCCACAGCCCTGGAGAAAGGGTGAGTGGCGCTACACTCCAGCACCCCCCCCAAGCCGTGTGCCCCAGGCCGCGGCTCCTATGGTTTGAGGTCAGGCACTTTTCTAATTCATCCGCTCAGATGACACTTCTCCTGATTCCTGCTGTGGCCCCGAGTGGCCCAAGGTGTCCCCGTCTGCACAGCATCAAAGCCCAGACAGGAGCCTCAGAGAACAGCTAGCCGAGCCCCGGTGTGCCTTGTTCCCTCACCCGTCCCCAAGCCACACTAGGGCGACCTAGCTCATTCCTGGTGCCCCCGCAGCCTAAGCCTCTAAGTCCCACCAGGACCTGCTGGTCACCCTGCCTCTGCCTTGCACCCCATCTCCCAGGCCTTCCCCCGACACAACCGGGAGGAACTTGCCATGTCCTCCTCTAAAAATCCTCCTGCCCGTGGTTCCCTGTGGAACCTTCCAGGCGAAGGCCGCACTCCTGGCCATCACCCCCAGGTCCCACCAGCTCCAACCCCTGAAGACCAACTGCTCAGCAGCAGACTTGATGCCCTCACCTTGAGCTCCAAGCACTGTGTCCTGTCACAGTGCCACACACAACATTCCTCTCAACCCCAGGGCCTTTGCACATGCTGTGGCTTCTACCCAGACTCTCTTGCTGCTTCCTTCAGTCCCTCCTGCATGGCCCTTCCTGAGAGGCCCACCCTCACCGTTCCAGTGTCAATCAGGCCTTCCCTTGTTTGCTTACATAGCACTTCTCACGCTTGGAAGTGATATTTTTGTTCGAATGATTTGAGTAGTCTCGGTCTCCTCACTGGAATACAAACTCCGTGAGGGTGAAGATCGTGTCCTCCCGCCTCACCGTGGCGGCTCGGGTGCCCCGTTGTGCCTGGCACACAGGAGAGTCTCCGTGAGCGGTTCAGGGACGAATGGGGCCCACTGCAGGTCTGTGATTTGGTCTCAGGATTTGAACTAACTCCATGGCCACTGATGTTTTCCTCTGTCCTCACTTCCTCCTGGGGGATGAGCCTCCCCAGCAGGACAAGTCAGGCCTAGCTGCAGCAAACGGATGCCCATGAATCAAGTTGACGTTTCCATTACCTGAGGGAGACAAGTGTGTGGCCGGGAGAGTTTGGCTTCGGTGAGGGTGGCAGGGATGACCGCCCATCACATCCGCCAGCCAAGGAGGGAGGTCAGCCCCACCACTTCCTGAGGCCTGGGCCTGCCCATTAGCCCTTAGCTAGGGTCCCCATGGCCCCCTGCACCCGGGGAGAGGACGTGGTGTGAGCCAGCAAGGCAGAGCCCCCACTGCGGGCCACCGAGCGCGTGCAGGCCAGTCCGCGTCCAGGACCAGCTCACGCCCTGGGAGCGGGGGCTCAGGGCCAGTGGGCGCACACACACTTAGCACCAAGCGCTAACTCAGGCTTGTTGGGGTTGGTGTGTGTACAGGCGCCCGGAGAACGTGGACACAGGGACACTCGGGGCAGACCTCTACGTGCAGGGTCCCTCCACCCAGGGTCCCTCTACCCAGGGACCTCCTGCCTTCAGCCCAGGTGGTCTTCCCTCCTCCCAGATGCATTTGCCCCCCGCATCAAGACCCCCCTCCCAGTAACACTCAGTAGGGAGCCACTGGGACCACGCTCGGGCCTGCCTGGCGATGCTTCCTGCCTTTGCCTGAGCCGTCCACATACCATAATCGCATACCACTTGCACGATTATTTATTGAATATTTTTCTTCAAGCCAGCTCTTTGTCTTTTTACTTAAATGCCTATTTTGGTTTCGTCCTAAGCAACAGCGTCAGTGAAATCATGACACTAATGTGCCCATTATACATTTTTTCCTAATACACATTTACATAAACACAACTATTAAAATAGATTAAAATTGTGCCCATGTGTCGATTAAAATCATATCCTGGGCTTTGGAGGTCCAGCCGCCAACTACAGAAGGACCCCAGCTGAGGAGAAAGAGCCCCAAGATGCCCGGGGCCCTGGGAGCCCAGCCCCACGTCCTGCCCAGGAGCCAAAGCCCAAACTCCTTGCCCTGACATTCGAGATCTTTGTCAGTGGACCCCAATCCCCCTCCCAGGCGCATCTCCCGCCGCACACAGTAGGTGCACAATATTTACTGACTGAATGGAAAATGGATTAATGAATCCCTTGATGAATCGATGCATGCGTGAATGAATGAGCACACACCTCCACGTGGGTGTCCCCTGGCACCTGAGACTCAAGCCATCTGGCCCCGCCCCTGACCCAAGTCCGGAATCTGAGAGACTTTGCCGACTTTCCCCCCACATGAGTCTGTTGATTTTCCCTCGTGACTGGCTCCTGACTCTGCCCTTGTTGTCCCATCCCTGGGGCCACTTTGTGAACCAGATCACCGTCTTCTCTCTCTCCGAGCATGGGAGGGATACGGCGGCAGAGATCCTCCTAGAATGCACAGCGGAGCTGTGGACTGTGGGTAGGTCCAAGCTTCCTAGGGAGGCTTCAGGTCCCTCTGGCCTGGCTCCCCCGACCTCCTCTGCAGCCGCATTTCTCACTCCCTGTGACCCTCCCCTCTCTCCACACCTGCTGTCTAGACTGTTGTAAGGTTCCTGTAATGTTCCGACTTTCTTCCTCTCTCTCCTCTTGCCTGACATCTAGACAACCTCCGTGTCTTGGCTTAAATATCTTTTTCCCAAAGGAGCCCTCCTGACCACCGCCTCCTCCTCCCTCCCCCAGCAGGTGCTGCCTTTGGGATCCCACAGCCCCTGACTTTCCCCCATCAAGATAAGAGCAAACACCAACAAAGCACTCACTCTGTGCCAGGCTCTGTTCTAAATGCCTCACATGTCGGAGCTCAGCCCTCAGGACAGCTGTAAGAGGTAGGTGTACTGATTGTTGCCATGGCCCATGGAGAGGAGGCACAGAGAGGTTAGGTCACTTGCCTAAGGTCTCGGGGAGGTGCTGGAATCTAAGCCCAGGTTGCCTGGCCCCAGAGCCGGGCACCAAACACACCACACACTGTACAACAACCATCTGTCTAGTTCTCCGTCATGCCCATCTGTGAGGACAGACATCCATCTGGATGGCTCAATATCCTATCTCAAGTGCCTACTGCAGTGCTTGGCACATAGTAGGGGCACAATGAACTGTATCACCAGATAGATGGATACATAGATAGTTAAATAATGAGGATGGGTCATACGCAGAAGGAAGATGGACGGACATCTGATACAAAGAAGGATGACATCTGGTAAGTGGAGGATGGATGGATGATGATGGATGGAGGGATGTGTGGATGATGGATGGGTGGGTGGATGATGGATGGAGGATGGATGGATGGATGATGGACAGATGGATGAATGGATGGATGGATGATGGACAGATGGATGAATGGATGGATGGATGATGGAGAATTGATGTGTGGATGATGGATGGGTGGGTGGATGATGGATGGATGGATGATGGAGGATGGATGGATAGATGATGGACAGATGGATGAATGGATGGATGGATGATGGAGGATGGATGGACGGATGATGGAGGATGAATAATGGATGGATGATAGATGAACTTACGGAAGGATGAAGAACATTCTCTACTTGGGGGAAAGCTCTAGAAATCCTTCTGGAATGGGATGAGGCTTCTTAAAGTCCTGGTTCTGACCCCATCTCTGCCATTCACTAGCTCTGTGATCTTGGGCAAGTTACTTCATCTCTGTGACCCTAAGTTCCCTCATCTTTATAATAAGGATGTTGCCCCAGGCACCTAAGCCCCAGAACTTGATGTAAAGGTAGCTGTAGACACAGGGTCAAGGGTCCCCATGGGGTCAGGACAGCTTAAGGCCTGGGCTTGAGGGCCTGTCTCCCAAATTCCCCACCTGCCTGTCCCATCCCTACCTTGCCCACCCTCTGGAATCCAAGGCAGCCTGCCAGCCTGGCTCCGCCCTGACCCTGACACCCCAGACCCAGCTTCCACTCTGGGCTCCCTCCTTCCGGCACCTCAGTGTCTGGCCCTGACCCCAGCACACTCAGGCTGTCCCACCTTCAGGCTCCTTGAGGACCCGATAGGGTGGGGCCCTGGGGGGGCAGCCACAGCCCAGAGAGCAACTGGCCTCCACACATAGCAAGAAAACAGGTTCAACAAGCATTTATTGTGCCCCTGCTGTGTGCCTGCTGTGTGCCCCACCCCCCACCCTGTGGTGCCAACGCCGGGAAGCCCCACCCGCTCCCTGCCTCGTGCAGGGCTCCGCGCCGCCGGACACGCCCTGAACTTCCCGGCCGGCTTTCCGTGGTATCCCAGCTGCACCGGACAGGGTGCTGCATGTGACGGTGGCAAGAGTCAGGGGTTGCTGTCCCAGAGTCGCCATGCGCAGCCCTGTGCACTCCGTCAGGCCACCCCGGCTCCATGTCCAGGGCCCTGAGCCCCAGGAGGCAGTGGGGAGGGCAGGCCTGTGTCTCCCGCGCAGGCTGGCTGAGTTCCCAGCACACAGGCCAGCTTTCCAGGGGCACCAGAGCAGTCTTCTGGCGGGCGGCCTGAGGTCCGGGGGCCGCGCTGGGTCTTGGTCACACCCAGTGCCCCAGCACCCAGCACTGGCGGTTCAGCTCTGGCACCTCCTGTGCAGAGCCCCGGGGCCAGGACTCTCCCATGTGCGGATGGTGTCCTGCCAAGAGACGGGGTGGTCAGTACGCACGGCTGCCCTCCTCCAGCCACGCATCCGTCGCCCACCCATCTCTGTCAACCCACATCCAGCTCTCTACCTCCCGCCCCACTCACCAGCTCACCGTCCACGCCCCCATCACCCACCCACCTCGACATACACCCGCCAACACCCACTGCCGCCCACCTCCCCCTGGCCCAGGTGCCCACCACCCCACCCAGACACACTCTTCCTACCCACAGTCCCAAACCCACTCATGCACCTCCCACCTGTCAACACACCATCCATCCTCCTCCCGCCCCATTAACACCCCCAGCAGCCCAACTTCCCACAGCCACATCTGCCTGCAACTGGAAACAACCTCCTAGCCTCCCACTCACCCACCCTCTACCTCAACCGCCCACTTGCCCACTTCCCAACCTGCTGCCACACCCACTAAGTCACCACCGCACACCCATCCACGACCCTCCAGCCTCCTGCCCCTCTCCCTGCCCACCCATCTCCCCAGCCACCCTGCCCAGCCAGCCCGTAACCGCCACCCACCGCCCCACCAGGCTTCCCTGAGCCACACTGCGTCTCCACGTGTTCAAGGAGCTGGGGGAGGGTTAGAGAAGAACAAGCATCCACAACTCCTGGCCCCGGTCCCTACGTGACCCCAGGGACTGAGCGTGAGTGCACAGGTGTGCCCAAAGTGACTCCGAGCAGCGCCCTGGCAGTGCCCCACTGCTCCCAGGGGCCTGGGCGAGCAGAAGGGAGGGAGCTGGTCCTCATCCAACAAGCTCACTCCTCTCTCCCTGGGTTCTCGGAAGCCCACTCCCTGCCTTCGCTCAAATGCCTCAACATCTCTGACATGCGGGAACCATGTCCATCCCCATGCTGCGACCTGCTAACATGTCCTTGTACCTACTGTGAATCACTCTCAAGGCCCAGCTCACGTCTCTCCTCCTACAGGGAGCCCCCCAAGGTCTCTTTGAGGCCATTGGCTGTTTCCCTCATCTTGGAGCCGCCCCTCCCAGTGGCACTCCCTAGCGTGGCCCCCATCAGACCATGAGCCAAGGAGAATGATGGCTGGACCCTCAGCAGATGCTCCGCGATGGCTCAGTGGAGGTGGAAGCAGAGAGGAAAACTGAGGGAGAGATTGGCATGGTGGGTGGGCTGGGGGGCCAGAGAGAAAACCAATAGACACTGAGCGTTCACGGTCTATACCCTACTTGATTCTAGCCTCACAAGCCTGGGAGGTAGCTAGCACCCATTTTACAGATGAGGGAATGGACACTCAGCAAGGATAAGCAGCTGGACTGAATTTCCTCATTAAAGACATTCGTCGGTTTTTCTACTCTGAGCTCTAATGGAGGCTCAGACATTCTTGTCATCCTTTAGGGTCAGACAGGCTCTTTGTAGAAAGCCCCACTGAGCTGGGAATTCCTGCTGAAGCCAAGCTCTTGCTTGCATACCTCTACAGACAGACAGCTCATTACCCTTCCTCCACCCCCAAAGCAGCTCTGACTATTGGGACAGTCTCCCTCATGGCAAGGGCTGGAAGGCCACGGGCAAAGGGGAGGACGGTTGTGCCAATTTAGGGGGTGGTTGTGGGGTTTTGTGCTTTGATGTTTTTTCTGGTTTTAATATTCTTTAATGTTAGTGCTTTGCTAATTTTATTGTATTTTTAAAAGGGTGGCAAATATTTGGCAAACATTCTGGAACCATTTGGCCTCAGGAAAAATGTCTGTTTTGGCCTCAGCAACTGAAACTTGCATTCTTTGGAAGTGAATGCTGCCAAGATATAGGTGTTTGGATTTAAAAAAAAAAAAAAATCTAGAAGCAAATATTTGATGTGCAGAAAGGTTTGATTGTTTTTCTAAATGAATATTTAGTAGTGATTGTAGCCTGCTCTCACCATTGTCAACAGGCCGAACCCCGGAGAGTCTGCTGGAACAGAAAGGGATCGTGCATTTTGATGGAAAAGGAAAGGCCATGATCCCCATCCTTCCTGGAGTTAAAATCAGGCTGCTTGTTCCCTGGATCCAGAAGTGGATTTGTCACTGAGGAACTGGGACCCTCCTTTTGTCTTGGGCCTCCTGGGAGGGGCTTGGGGCCCAGAGCCATTTACAGTGGAGAGTAGGGAGCTCCGTCGTCCCGCCTGAGGAGTGCCCCCCAGGCCACCACAACCCCCACGCACTTCCCATCTTCCAGTATCTTTACTTTTGGGCTAGTCACTAGCTGGGGGTGGCAGCAGGGGAGGGGGAACCACCTGATGCTGTAGATTGGAGAATACCACCTCAAAATGTCTACGAGGCCTAACCAAATGACATAAACGGGCAAAGCAGCCATTCTTCAGCTCTGACCAATTGCTGCCATGGAGAACGTGGGCTCAGATCTTCCAAAAAGTTCAGAGAAACTGAAATTCAGAATTTCGAAATAAAATCTCCCAGATTTTCAATACTGACAACTGAGACTTTTAAAATATTTACAACCATCTGTGGGCCAAGTAGCATCTCTCGGCTGGCCAGTTCCGACCTCTACTTCCCAACATGCATCCTTGGTCCATGACTCTGTGCCATGGCTTTACACATTCTGGTCCCTCAACCTGATGCCCTTCCTTGATGTTTCCTGGTTACTGAATCCCCCACTTGTCTTTCAAATGCTCCCCCTCTGGGAAGCATCCCACAACTTCACAGGCACAGGCTTCGCTCCCCCCGTGACCCCACGACACGCTGCTGATCTCTCTCTCCCTGGACTTGTGACTTTGTGTTGGGGACCCAGTGCAGGCAGGGACTGGGTCTACTTTCATCCCGGAGCCTTGGCCCCCCGCACCTGGCCAGGCACACAGCAAGTCCTGAGCTGATCCTTTATAACAATTGAAGAAATCATTCAGAAGGAGGATGGAGTAATTCCTAAGCCTGGAGAATGAGCTTTGCCTGCCCTTCCTATTCTGAGATTCTGTAGATTATGAGAGCCTCCTTGGTCAGTCTCTCCTCTTGTGGATACGGGCTTAGGGGGAAAACTATAATTGCAGTCTTGCAGTCAGGGGTTCAAATCCAGGCTCCACTGCTTACAAGCTGTGTCAGTCTTTTTTTTTTTTTTTAAGCTGTGTGACTGCTGACAAGTACCTTGTCCTCTCTGAACCTGCAATGGATGTGAGTTACAAAGGGTTTGGCAGGCCCAGCAGGCCCCCTGCTAGAAGTCAGTCCTTCGTTATCCGACTTCAGATTGATGTAGAAATAGCAAAATGCCTGTATGGGAGGGGGTTGGATTCAACCACCTCTCTTCACAGATGGGGAGCCACGGCCCAAGGGTGGGAAGAGATCTGTCCAAGTTGCCACTCGGAGGGTTGATAGCAAGTGCTGTGTTTTAAATTCCTTTGTAAGCAACCAGGCTTAGAAGAGTATTTGGCCCAAATGAACATGAACACATTTAATGTCCTCTCTTCCATCCTCACTTCTCCATAGATCAGTGGGAAATCACTGTCATGAACCCCACCAGGGCACCAAGATCCCAGGGGTTCAGCTTTCAGCTCTGCTGAATTGTGTGCAGTCACATCCTCTGTTCCGGAATGGATTCGCTGAGTTGGAAGGGCCCTTGAAAGCCAAGTCTGCCAGTGCCACCACAAATGTGTCGAAGGGGAAATGGGGGCACTTACAGGGGATGTAACTTGTCCAAGGCGCTCTGAAGCTGGTAAAGGAATTGATGACGGTGGGCAAGTGGCTGGTATTGGTGTTTCTCACCCCACAGCAGCCCAGCCCGGCCTGGCACAGGAGAGACAGATGAACGCCACACCCCCTGCCCCGCCCCGACCCCCCGCATCCGCTGTCCGAGGTGCTGACGGCCTCTCTTGAGGGCCCGCGGGCCCAGCCAGAGCCTACTGTCTAGCTGCCCCACCTTGAATTCTTTCCTCTAGAAAGAGACGGATGAGGGGAGTGATGGAGAAATGAATTGAGGCTGGCACTGAGGTGTCTGGCTTTGGAGACCCTTCAGCTAGTGACACCATCGTCCCTTTTCCAGTCCTAAAATGTCGCCACCTTGGCAAGGGCCCTATGGCTGCTTCTCCAAGTCAACCCTGCATTGTAGATCTGTATCCTGAGGGCACATTAAAGACTCTGGCATATTTAGTAATAGCCATTTACTCTATTCCTCCTAGTTTCCCCTACTACGCTGCATGTAACATGGGGACACAGACCAGCCATGCTGCTCTTCATTGCTCTGTCCCTAGCACCTCACTCAATTCCACCCACACTGCTGATAATGTAGATCCATTAAATGAATGAACATGCAAAGATTTGGGAAGAAGAGCAGATGTGTGTGAGATCCATGTGGAGGGGAAGTTGGGTTTTGTGGTCTACCTTGGGGGCAGCCTGTCTTAGGAGATCAAATGGGGGCCCCATTCTTGTCCTCGCTGGAGTCCATCTTCTGGGGACCCCATGCTGCTGAGCCATGATGTGCTCCTCATCTGTTTTCCACACTTAGGATCAGGTTGAATCCACCTAACCTGCCACCTCTCCCAGGACCACGGATTCCTTCATTCTCTTATGAAACATCTGATGGGCAATCTATTGTGTGTGAGCCTCCACAGCGGGTGCTGGGTCTGCAGACAGGAGTGAGACACCTGCCAGTGCTTGTGAGGGAGACAGACACATACATGCGGAAGTGACAAGAGCACATGCGTCTTCAGCTCTTAGCGCGGCAGGAGCCATTCACTGCGCCTCATGTGCACTTGCCCATTTATTCCTCAGAAATATGAGTGAGGTGCCATTACTATGCCCATTTTACAAATGAGGAAAGCAAGGCTCAGACAAGTTAAGTCATTTGTCCAGAGTCTCACTGCTGGATTTGAACAATAGGCAGCCTCCAAAGGCCGGGCTTGTAACCACCATAAAATCCCACCTTGTAGACGTGAGCCCCAGGACAGGACAATGCAGAGATGAACATGACCACCTCTGATGGGGGGACGTGGGGGGCGGGCTGCCATCCCCCGGACATTGAACTAGACTTGGAAAGCACTGTGA